CTCCCGAGCAGGCTGAACAATGACAGGCCCTTTTCCTGTCCCCTCAGTGTGCATAGCCTCAGGGCACATTGTTTTAGCCGAGTTGGCCTTAAAGAAGAATGTGCATCATTATGAGGATTGTGGTGTCAATACTGTTGAAACTAATCCACTTAGCCCGGCGCACGGGGTTTAAATTAGCTGAATCAACAACTTCACACTGTGAGAAGAAAGCATCTCTTGACTGATGTGTCCCTGTGCAGACATGGCACGACGCACAGAGAAACATACTCCTTCACTTGCTTGTGCTTGTTGTTGGTAAAGCGACAGAACTACAAAAAAATGCTGCACCACCTCCAGTACATTCCAGTCCCATCTGGAGGTTAGATAGGTTAAAAAAAAAACGCCAGAGGTAGACTTAAAGTAGGGAAGGATCAGTCTGATTTTTTTCTCTCTCTCAGTCAATCAATCACTTTTATTTATGAAGTGCCAAATCACAACAAAACTTCATTTTAACAAACCTCGAGCAGAACTGATCTCAGGGGTTAAAAGCCATCTGCTGTGACTAGCTACACCTAAAGCTCTGGACTTTCTTTAGGCTACATTTTTTAATAATAAATAAATATTGTTATGGACTCTCTGTGGGAAAAATGTTCTGTCTGATGGACTTGTTTGTTTTTGTAGCTCAGTTCGAGGCGTTAGTATAAATCTCAGCCTGTTTCATAACCAGCTGAAAGCTCCTCACAGTAGCTTTAAATAATCTGCCCTTACTTTTCTATTCTCTGGAGGGTGTAAAGGTGCACAGAGAAGTGAGTGAAGTTGACCTCAGTCTATCTTATCACACATCTCTCATCTACTTCGGTGAAATGAAAATATTTCTCAATGCCTGTGTGTGTGTGTGTGTGTGTGTGTTTCTCTGGCAGGAACTAAACACTTGTTCCGAACAGGGCATGTCATGACTCATGACTCATGACCAGATCCTGATAGTTTGACCTCAGGTTTATAGAAATGGGTTCAAGATGAGTATTAGTATCTAGAATTACTAAACCACTTTGACATCGTATCCAGGATTCTCAAACATAACAGGAAGTGACTGAATGCTTTAGCTGTGTTCTTATGGTAGCTAATGGGTCACTAGATAGTGCCAATTCATAACCATAGACCATACCCTTTGTTATATTATTTATAAAGACCCGATGTGAATCCAGCATGAGCTCAGCGCTGAGCAACATTTACGGCGGCAAGGAAAAGCTGCCTTTTAAGAGTGCAGAAGAAGACTCATGATGAACAGTCATCTGGGGTTGAGAGGGGATGGAGGGAGATGCAGAAAGAGAGAGCTGGAACATGACAACAATGAATAAGATAGATTTATAGCTTCAATATGAGTAATAATAAAAGTCCACGGCACAGCTTCTTTCTGTGACAAACACTTCACTGTATTAAAAAAAAAAAATAGAATATTTGTATTTGGCACAAGCAATTTGATTATCACACAAGTCAGGGTGACAATATTTAGTCCATCCCATCCCATCCCCAAGCATAAAGCTCAAATAGCCTAGGCTAAGAAGTTGTTGCCAAAGCAAAGGTACAATGTCCCCGAGCAGGTGATGGTGACTCCCTCCATGTAAGTGGGGTTGCTGTTTCTCCTCGGGCATAATGGCTGCTGACAGTGCAGTGCACCTTTTTTATATGTGAGCCTTACTTCATGAACAACTTGTGTAGATGTGAACTTGATAGACCACATTGTTAAAAATCTGACAGTTGTATCCGGCAATTGTCTATAGTCTGTACACGTAGGCACGCCTCTTACTCTTTGTTGGCATTAAACCGCACATATGTCATTATAGACACTTCCCGTTCTGTGACACTGCGGTATGCTGCAGACTCCGTGGAGCTCGCACAACAGGAACACTATACAGGAAGTGAAAATAAAAAAACAACTTAATTGTTGATACATAAAGAGTGATGTGACAGCATCGCTCTGTTATCTGGGCTTGTTTTTCCTCCCTCACTCTCTCTCTCTCTCTCTCTCTCTCTCTCTCTCTCTCTCTCTCTCTCTCTCTAATATCAAGGAGCCTCTCTCGCTCCATCCCTCACTCTCTCGCTCCGTCTCTCGCTCCGTCTCTCTCTCTCTCTCTCTCTCTCTCTCTCTAATATCAAGGAGCCTCTCTCGCTCCATCCCTCACTCTCTCGCTCCGTCTCTCTCTCTCTCTCTCTCTCTCTCTCTCTCTAATATCAAGGAGCCTCTCTCGCTCGTTCTCTCCGAGCAGAAACTCTCAATCCCAGCTGACCAGCCAAAAGCACACCCCTATTGGCAGGCGGGGAATTTGTGCTTTTATGGGTGCACAGAGGCCCCATTTGGAAAACCGGTGCTGTGCTCTCAGTTCCTGCTTGGCAAATACCCAACCTATATATGGCCGACACAATAGAACAGAGCGGAGCGGTGCACAGACAGTGCTCTGTGTTGTTGTCTGGCATGTCTGTTTGCAGTAGTGTGATTTATTGTTTTCCGCCTGTTTGTTACCTGGTGATTCTCCTGTGTGTTTGCCGATCGGTCTGATTTGTTACCTTGTAAAGCGATTATTTACACGACCCTTAGGTTAAGTTTGGTGTAATTACACTGAAATGGAGAAGTCGTTTGTATGTCTTCCTCTTTCACTGTATTGTGCCGCTCCTTCTGTACTAGCCCTGTTCATATGGGTTAAGGTTAAGGTTAGCGTTGTTCCTTTTCTGATCTTTTATGAAGACTGATATAGTTCTTTTTTTCCTTTCTTGCTGCAAATACAGGAAGTATTCTTTATTTTGGCCATGCAAATATATATTAAAAAAGTAACTATAAATGTCCCATAGTGCAAATATTACTCACTGACATCACTTTGTAGAACATTTAAAGGAAGAATGTGTCGCCCCTGAGCACCAGCATAAAACCAAAACAAACTGCAATTTGACGACCCCGCGGCTATTCTGAAGCCTCCGCTCTCCTCCAGCGGCACACCTCCAACCCCACTCCACTCACGTTTTCACAAAGGAATTTTCAATTAGAAAGCACCAGGATTGAGTGCTGGGGGGGCTGACAAAATTGTCTTCAGATTGAGCTGCAACTTTAGTTAACTTCAGCACACTTTAGTTAACTCATAGCTTCATATTGCATGTAAATAGACACAGAATTACCTTAATCTAAAGACACTTAAGAGTACATGACATACAAATAATCACTGAGTATGTTATTCTTTTTTCTAGTCCTTGACTAAAACAGCTTTGTACACAAAGCCGTCCGGTCCATGTAAACATGATGTAAACACGGCTCTGACGACAATACATGTGGCAGGACTCAAGCTTCTCACTCATTGTAGACAGTCATGACTCAGAGAGACATTTAAAGAGGATCTTCTTGATTTCTGGTGTAATTATTATGTGTAAAAAGTCGCACATTCTTCCTTTGAAGCTGCATCATCGACTCTTAACTTGATTTTACACGTGTCGTTGGAGAGAGCTCTCATCCAGCTGCCTCTGGGCTTTACAGGTGTTCATCAGCTTCGTATAGCTGTGTGCAACATATGGCCACCTAATGTTTTCTTAAGGAATGCATTAGTTTTGTAGCCTCCTTTTTTTTTTAGGGGTGCAGCTGCAACAACATGTGATATTCAAAGAGATGCACCGAGTGTGAAAGTCATGGCCGACATCTAAACCCATGTTTGAAGTGACAATTAAGCCCATAGCTGATTCCTATACCAATGTGTTTATATTACTTTTTTAATAATTCTTCATGTCTGTTTTTCAAATGAGCCATGAGATTTGATATGAACGCTCGCTGCTCGCTACAAGTCCCTCCTCTTGGAATGTCACTGGAACATGTCTAACAGACTGCATGTCGCTGGTCTTCCTCAGAGACGCTGCAAGACTTCCAGAGTTTTTTTTGTTTTTTTTTGACAAACGGGGGAGTCTCCTGCCCAATTAAAACGTCTTCTCTAAACACAACAGATACATGTCAGATTCGGTGCATGCCACGTTATTTTGCAGATTACTGATGTTCACCAGTGAATCCCTTTTTATAATTTATAATGTGCTGATTATGTTTAGGATGGATTGTTTGGGAAGTTGCGATGACCATCTTTCACCAAAGTGTCGTCTTTTAAGTTGCTTTTTTTGTGAAGAGAAAAGCCGAAATCTGCTTATTTATCTTGACAAAGAAGAACAGCAAATCTTTCCATTTAAGAAGTTAGAAACCATCAAACTGTGACATTTCCCTTTTTGAAGTTTGACTAGTTATCAAAGATAGTTATCGCGGGGTGTTAGGACACGGTGTTGTTGCAGTTTAGGGATCCCAGAAGAATCGTCTCTGTCCTCGTGATCTCAGAAAGCTGAAGCGTCTGCTTTGAATCAGCATCCTCCGTCCTAATCTGTTGTGACTGGTGTCACAGTGCAGCGGAGTGAAGATATCGCCATATTAGCTCTGCTGAAGTCTGACAGCTGTTTGTGGTAGAAGACAGACACAAAAGAGAGAGAGAGAGAAGCCCCGAGCTCCGATCAGCATCAGGTCTTAGTGCTCTCTGGCCTCTTCTGTGTGCCAGAGAGAGAGAGTGGCTTTCTTCTCTGCTGGTGTTTACCTTTGTGGGCACACCCTGAGGTGCTAAAGGGAAAAAAAAAAAAAATCATGAAGCTAGCCGCCTCTGTTATCTCTTGCCAAAAATGACAACATTTGCTTTGAAGTCCAAACAAAGCAAATAGTAGTGAAATCCTGAGGTGTGAACTTAGCCTGCAGCTCCAAACTTCAGCTAAACACTGAAAATATTTGAATCACAAACAAACAAGAGAAGCAGTGTCATGAATACAGCAGTGCTGGACAATAGTGCTGTTTCTATCAATATGATAGTAGTGGAGTAATAACCCTGTGCTCTCCTGCTCCTAAGGCTGGACAGATCTCATTACATTAAAGTCAAGAGTTAAAGGAGGAGTGGCCTGTTGTTTGACCTCCTGCCATTACTCTTTTATTTCTTAATTCAGCTGTTTTTCTAACCAGTTCTCCCTGCTGTCACTCTGTGTCTGCTATTAGCAAACACCATGGCGGAGCATGAACCCACACCGGAGGAGCTGGCAGCCATCGCTGCGGCCAACGAAGAGTGCGATTCTTCCGTCAACTACAAACCTCCGGCCCAGAAGAGCTTACAGGAGATCCAGGAGCTGGACAAAGACGACGAGAGCCTCCGCAAGTACAAGGAGGCGCTGCTGGGTAGCACTAAAGCAGTCGCAGGTTTGTGATGCTAATGAGCCCTCACTCGAATAAAAGCAAGAATTTAAACTTCATTTACAATATTTGACCCAGCCTCTCTTAGTGTGTGCGCATATGTTCGGTGAAGCTGCCGGTCTGTTTGTAATAGCAATAGTGCTGAGAGTCCACCGTCAGCTATGTGTTATGAAAACACTCTGCCTACTCCAGTATGTATGGATTCATGCAAAGCAGAAGATAACAGAATCATTTCAGCTTTTTGAGCGTCGGTCACATGGAGAGCTTTTTTCATGCAACAAAACAAAGAGAATTTTTTGTTAAACTCATGTTTTTATATAAATATTAAAAGAAAATCTTGTAACTAATCCCTCAGGGCTGGGTATCAGTACTTTATACATTTTATTACAGTTACCTATTAACCTAAAAATGCAACTTTATTTCATATTTTAATCTATGAGTGTAGCACTTTCAAAGCAGCGGTTGTAAATTGCTCCATATACTTTGTGTGCGCTGCGGTCCGTCAGCATTTTGCTCCGTTGGATTGGCGCTCGCCCTGCCCCACCGGGAGGAGCGTCAGCACATCCATGAGGAGCTGTACACGCATCACAGGAGAACTTACAAGATCACACGGTGGAGGGGTGCCGGCTCACTTACCGAGCACTGCCGAGGGGCCCTTGAGCAAGGCGCCGACCCCCCCTTCCCCCCTTCCCCCCTTAGATTTTGTGATGAAGAGTGCAACCATTATTACTGAATTAATAATAAATCTCTCTCTCTCTCTCTCTCTTAGATCCAACCGCCCCGAACGTTCAGGTGACGAAAATGACCCTGTTGTGCGAGGCGGCGCCGAGCCCCCTAGTCCTCGACCTGACGGGTGAGTGACCCATGAGCGCACAGAAGCTCACATTAAGCCAGCTGTGCTCCCTCATGTCAATCACACTGGCAGCATGATCTCATTGTAACATGAATTACGAGCAGTCATCAGCCAATCAGTGAGAGCTAACTCAGAGCAGATGACCTGCTGGCTCATTAGTGGGCTAATAACTAATGATATGATTCCTGTGGAAGTGGGAATACAGGAAGACATTTCCTGGTAGCACACCAGAGCAGAGGAGGCAGGCTTCAGTACATTTGAGGCGCTGTGCCACCTGGTGGTCAGTCTGAGTACTACAGTGTTAAATCCAAACACAGGGGAAATAGTTTCATTTTCACACTTGTGTTTTTTGGCTTTAGTGAAATCATTTAAATGAACTCCAGTCTATAATATTCTTTAGTAAAACCTCAGTCTTCTCTCTTGCTTGACTTTTCTTTGCTTCGTTCTCTTGCAGGAGACCTGGACGGCTTCAAGAAGAAACCATTTGTGCTGAAGGAGGGAGTCGAGTACAAAATCCAAATCACCTTCAAGGTGAGAGGGTCTGCTTCTTGTCACACAGTCCTCTCTGTTTCTGTTGTGTGCGACCGTTGCTGGCACGCTGACGTTCCTGCAGCTGCAGCGAGTTTGTCTTTGTCGCAGGGAACCGTTCAGCAGGATGTGTTGTGTTTTGCAGGTTAACAAGGACATCGTGTCCGGCCTGAAGTACAACCAGCAGACGTTCAGGAAAGGTGTGAAGGGTAAGGCAGAGATTTTATTTAATATCTGTAATCCCTGAGATGCATTTTGACCAGTAAATACTGTGTGAAGTTGTTTTCTTTGACTTTAAAGAACGGTTTTATTCTCACTCTTGAACACCATCGTACTCTTAGATGAGAAGATGTCACCATTCATCTCTGCGCACTAAATATAATGTTACATCCTGAGAGTAAGCACTAAAAACAGTAACATAAGTTTGATTACAGAAATGATCGCTCATTTTGTTTTTCATGAAGAGGCACCAGTATGTTTTCTAACCAGCTTAAAACTCCTCACATGAGCTTTAAATTCAGTATGTCCTCACTGAACATTTCCCAAAAGTCTTCCTCCTGTCTCTCATTTGTTTTTAATAACTTTTCCTGACCCCCCCCTTTAATCATAATGAACTTCTTAAAGAATATAAAGTCTGTACTAAAACATCCCCGCTCTACGTCTGGAGTTCAGCCTGACTTCTTGTCTCCTTCTAACCTGACAGTGGACAAGTCGGATTACATGGTGGGCAGCTACGGCCCCAGACCAGACGAGGCGTACGAGTTCCTCACCACCATGGAGGAGGCGCCCAAAGGCATGCTGGCCCGCGGCACCTACAACATCAAGTCCAAGTTCACTGATGACGACAAACACGACCATCTCTCCTGGGAGTGGTGCCTCACTATCAAGAAAGACTGGAAAGACTAAGCCCCACCCACCATCGGCACTCCTCCATCAGCGTCTTCCTCTTCTTGGTCCCTCCTTCTCTCTCTCTCTCTCTCCCTCTCGCCCTCTCTCTCTCTCTCTCTCCTGCTGTCATCCCATTGTTTCTTTTCTGTCCGGAGCCACTTCTGGATTATGTTTTGATTCAAGCTTTTTGCTCTCTCCGTCCAGCCCCCCCCTCCCCTCCCCTCCCCTCCCCTCCTCTTCTCCTCCTCTAGTTTCATTTGAATTTCAATCACTTCATCATTCCCGGCCATCGTTAACGCTTCTTGTGTTTGCAGCCGCCCTTCTGTTAAGTATTACATCTTTAAAACGGAGAAAGCAAACATCATGCACAATCCGCATTTTTGTTTCAATTATTTTTTTGTTTGTTCATAAAAGAAAAACAAGGAAAAAAAAAAAATCTGTTAATTGCTCTCGAGAAAAGTAATGACATTTTGAGAGTTCTTTGCTGCTTTTTCCTTCTCCCTCTTTTTCTTTTCATCCTTCTCTACATTTCAGATGCTTTTGTATGATTACCGTGATTTGCCTTTTTTGGAAGCATTGTACTGGGAGCAGTGGAGCTGTTTGTACTGTATGTGGCCACTGTGCGCTCGTTGAGCAATCGATGCTGGAGACGACTCTTGGACGCAGCCCTCCTTAAGCCTTTGAGCAGATTATTTGCACCAGAGTCTTTGGTAAATTATTTGGAATTAAGGCCACCTCTTTAAAGGGCCCCTATGGAGTCTGCAGAGAGGACTGAGGGGGGCGGGACAAAATTACCTCTGACCTCTTGTAACCCCCCCCCCCTCGATTTGTGTTGCTCCTCTTTGGATCAGGGTGTTTTTATCGCAGCCACGTGGCCTTATAGAAATAATCAAACAGAAATAAATAACCAAGTTGAGCAAGTTGCCTTCTGATTACATTTTCCAGACCATCACGTGAGCCTGTTTTTATAACCATACTTTGTAATACATGGACAGGGCGTCAGGACTAAGGAGTTTAACACCTTTATTTCAGGTCTTATTTGTAAAGGATTCATAACTACAAGTACGTGTAGTCTCCTTTATATTAGCATCTTTCTTTAGAGCTACATCTGTAAATAAAAGTCCAGGTCGTATTAATGTCCCTCCAGCACCTGAGGACATATTCCCATCCTCCTCAGGGACTCTCCTCGTGTAAAATAACCAACGCTCACCGTGCCTCGGGTCTCTTAACAACCACATAGTGCTCAACATCAGCGAGGTGAAATGTCGTCTGTCATTGACTTCCTGAACCAGTATCGAGACATCAGGCCCGCAGCAGACATCCTGCCATTTAAAAAAAAAAAAAAGTATTGTTTTTTTTTTTATCATACACTGTATGTGAATGGAGTCCAGCAGCTTCATTTGGGATGTTTCTCTGTATGCTACCTGTGCTACCTGCAGTGTACTGATCTCCTGTGTTCACATTAAAGTGTCTAGACTCGGACTGCTGCTCGTGTCCACTTGTTTTTTTTTTTTTTTTTCAGACATTAGATCCATTTTTTTTGCAGAAGGATTTGAATTGTTGCTTCCCTGAGCGCTTAATCAAAAAGAACATTATTTATACATTTCCTTCAAAGAACATTGTAAGACATTTTAATAGTTAACTACAAGAACATTTCGCCGCACAGTGCAGAACGGATTCATCATGTATAAGAGGATCAATCAAGCCCTGAATCATTCCCCTGCAGCTTGAAAAACAGCATTTCAAGCTGCTTAAAAAGCTTTAGTGATTTACTTTGAAAAAACCAACCCAGCTCTTACATGCTTCAAATGGCCTGTTTGTCTTCATATATATTATTTGGCTGTATTATTGTTTTACATAAATAGAAAATAAAATGGCAGTAGTAGTTAAAACAGCTGTACCAGCACATTTTTTGTAAAAATACTACATCAAACACTTCAACTTTCTTAAGACAGAAACTAAAACTTCCAGTCACACAAAGGCATTTCTACGGAAGCCTGAAGAGGACATGCATACATACAATTTATCTTACTATGTTTTCCTAACGATTCTGAGAAGTGTCCGGATTTTTCTCGAGATCTTAACTTTTTATTTTTTTAATTTCTTGGGATAGAAATGCTGATTTTCCCGCTATGAGAAAATAATTTCAGTCGATTTCTACGAGAAATTAACTCGCCATCACTGAAAACGAACGTTGTTATCTTAAGATAACGACGTAAATAAGTTGAGACCTCGAGAAAATAAGCAGTAAAATAAAATGTACGATTGCATGTACGTTGGGCTTCCGTACGTTTCATCCACATCAACTTTATTTAACATTTGGCAGTTTTTTTTAATGGACTGCATTAAGAGCAGACGGAGGCATCCACCGCTAACGATATCATTTATCAACCAATCCCAGGACTGCAGGCAACGAGAGGAGGTTTCAAAAACAGTATGATTAATAAAGGTAGATGTGCAGGTCGTGTCAGTAGCTGTTATTTTCACCATTTTCACATGGCGGCCAATTTTCCTCTGACGTCACGCTTAAGGTGGGAGGCTCACGTGATGTCATAACCTGACACTGCTGCGTGTTCCAGAGAGTCCGGAATAAGGTTTTCAACATTTTAAATATATTTAAATTCAAATATCCGTTATTTGGTGATTGTTGGAATCAAAAACTTGAGAGCCTCTAACAGAATTTGACGTCCCACCCCGGGCATGATGTCAGAGCAACATGGCTGCCGCGTGAATACGTTGGTTGGAGCTCATTTGTGAGTCTTCCTGCTCTTGGTGGAGCTCATGTCACTCTTCGTCTTCTGCAAGCGAGAGAAGATCTCTTTGAACAGGGCCTTGTACTCGGGCGTGTTCTGGCTCAGCCGCTTGTCCACCTGCTCCACCTGCCTGCTGATCCCTTCCAGGGCCTCGGGCGTGGAGGGGGTCTGAGGTGGTGTAGGGGGGCCGGCGGCGGCGTCGGCGGCCCCGGATGTGGAGGGCCCTGCAGAGATCATGATGTACTCCTTCATGGAGGGGTCTCTGGAGACGGGCCTGGATGTCTGGACCCCCGCGTGGCACAGGCTCTCCTCGTGGCGCCGGCACTTCCCCAGCAGCTCCTCGTATTTCTCCAGCAGGGCGTGGTACTGCTCGTCCACCTCGCGCAGGATCGACATGCCGCGTTTGCGCACGCCGTTTGCGTGCATGGCGTAGCTTCCCTGTCGTCTCCCTGAGGCGTCACGGGCTGAGATTGCGTTCAAAGCCGTGTCGCTGCAGCTTTTCCTCACCGGGCCGCCCTGCTGCCCCGTTCCCCCCGCGTCTCCAGAACCTCCTTCGCCCCCCTCCTCCAGCCCCACGGCGTCCTCTGGGGTGTCCGTCTCCGGGCCGTTTCTGAGCAGCGTCTCCAGGCCTTCCTCCATGCCACCAACCAAACACATCCTGGACTTCCTCAGCTGCTGCATCTCGTGGAGCTCAGCCTCGAGCTCCTGGACCCGCAGCTGGCAGCCCTCGGCTCCCGTCAGGCGTTGCTCCAGACGCTCAAACTCCTGCAGCACCGCAGCACACTCCCGCTCAGCGCCTTCCCTCTTCGAGCGCTCGGTGGCCATCGCCGAGCGCAGGGAGGTGACGATGTCTCTGAGGCGCTCGTTCTCCTCGTCCATCGGCTGGCTGTCTGCCAGGTCCACACTGCCCGGATTGGCCAACAGGAAACCATCCTCATACCTGAGCAAAAACAAATGGTGCGTCACGAGGTGATCTGCATTTAACGACAGTTTGTTACATGACTCAAACACATTAAACAATAACATTCTTTCAAGGCATTAAAAAACCTGTTCAGGTGAGCGTCTGCCAGCCTTACGAAGAGATACAGTGAATTACAGTTTGAGGGTTAAGCTCTATACCAAACTATGAAACAAAGAGAAGTTGAGAACCTTCATTTTATACCTTTATGTTAAAAGTTTTCTTTATAGACAATATACACATTTAAAAAAAAAAAACATTGACATTAATGTGAAGCTGCGTCTTTCTGTTTTTATTATTTTAAAGACAGCAAAAGTTCTTCAGACAGACTTCTTCTTCTCTTTTCTGTCCATTTGGTTTATAATAAGAACGTTTTAAATATGAGTCTTTTGAAAAATACTTTAAACACATGTAACAAATACATTTTCTCTTAAATCACGGCTGTCAGTGTGAACTAGTTAATCGAGATTCATTAAGATCTGAGGCTTATTCATGTTTTTGAATCGCAATTAATCGCATGTTATTTTGTCCCTTGAGACGCACCGTAGATAAACATCTGCACTGTCTCCCCGTAGTCACAGTGATGGAAAAAGAACGACACTGCTGCATCTTTGAACGTCTCATTTCACTTTGAAAAAAACTCTCAGACAGCTCAGCTGATGAGTTCAAAGTTTAATTTCCTCCTCATGCTATTAAACATTTACCTTTGTTACTGTTCCTCTGAGCTGTTCTCATTTAGCTTTTGATCCGTAATAAGTGGGAAATGTCTCAACCTCGATCTACTAGAAGGTCCTTACTTTATTTCAAAATAAAAGCGGGGTTGAATTCAAAGAGACAGTAAAACACTCTCAGCTCTCTCTCATCTATATTTAGATATTTCCATATTTTTCCACCAAGACGTTTATCAAGATTTTAGAACTAAAATTTTTGTTACTACAAAACAAAAAACAATTGACTGAAGCTGAAGCTGAAGCTGAAGCTATCTCACTAGCTAACCTTAACATGTTGGAACAGATTGCTTTTTGCCACACTTCCCTTCAAATTTTGTTGGAACAACTGTTGGTAAAATAGTTCAATAATAAGAAGAAGTCAAAAAGTCAATATGCAGCGAATATTAGCATCCTGCTAATCTGTGTGAAGCAGCTGAAATGTTTGACTCTATCTGACAGTGGGGTGTGTGTGTGTTGTGGTAAAGCACTCGTGTACAGAACATAATAAACATGGAGCACTTTGTGACCTCGGCGCTGTGCAGAGCTCTTTGAGGCAGGGAAAGGAGTGGACCGTCTTGCGTCGTTCCTTCTTCTCCCTGCGGACCCTCAGCTCCTCCAGGGTTCTCAGCTCCTCCACCCGAGACGTCAGACTGTCCACCTGACCCTGCAGGGTCTCCATGGTGCCCATCAGCCTGCGCGCACAAACACACACAAACAAAGACGCTCGTTACGTCATTATTACGTTGATTAAGCCCCTCTGCCCTCAGCATACCGTTCTCCTAAAGCCATAGTGAGTCCCTGTTACAGCATTAGGACTGAGAAACAAGATGTTTAGAACGAACAGAGGCAGCTGTTTAGAGCTTTAGTTAGCCTTCAGTCCACTTATACAATTTGTAAAGAATCTAAATCCCTGATTATGACATGGCTAAAAAAAAGAACTGACGCATAAAGTTTTCATTCCTTCAGTGGGTCCGAAACAAGAAGAGCAGAGGATATTCATCATGAAAGTCTTGAAAGCGGTCGCTCACCTGTCGATCTTCTGCTGCGACGCCTTGCTCTCCAGCACCAGCTTCTCGTTGGTGATCTCCAGCTCCCTGGCCGTCACATCCAGCTGCTCGTACACCTTCGCGTGCTGCTCGTTCATCTCCCTCAGCATTTCCAGCTGCTTGGACAGATACTGCGACAGACACGAGTCACACATAAAGGGAGTTTAGAAGTGACTAAAACTGCAATGCAGCACTTCATCTAGAGCAGGATGTGTCATGAAGAGGGAGTTAGACCTCTGCAGCTCACCAGGGTAACATGGAAACATGGTGGGTAAGCACACACTGAAATAATAGTTATTCCAACTGGATTAAAAAAATACTGGGGCGCTGGTGGCGCAGTGGTTAGAGCGTGCGCCCCATGTATGGAGGCTGTGGTCCTTCCAAGCAGGCGGCCCGGGTTCAAATCCAACCTGTGGCTCCTTACTCTCTCTCTCCCTGATTTCCAACTCTATCCACTTTCCTATCTCTCCAATAAATGCACAAAATGCCCCAAAAAAAAAAATCCTATACTGACTCAGCTGAACGTGAACACCATGGCTATAATATAGAATAAGGATATATGGTTTAATGTCTAGTTTTAAGTACATAGTTATCTAAAGCTGATGGATATTTGGTTGAATCGCTAAATCATTTACACTTCATCCGTCTGAAAATGATGAAAATACAAACCTGTGTGGATTAAAGCGTTTGGAAAATTCACTTTAGTCTCAAGATGAATTCACTGTGATGAAAAATGTGACAGACAGGTTGCCAGTTATTCAATGCTGACATGTGAATCCATTTAAGGAACACATAACAGAAACACTCTGTGTAAAAACCTCTGCAGCTCTGCACTCTGATGCTCAGTCTGATCTGATGACGAGGCAGATCAAGTGATTTCCTCTCACGTTCACAGCATAAACACTTCTGGTCCCCTTTCCTTTATACCTTCTTCATCCACACTCTTCTTCTGCTTCATCATAATTAGCTCGACATGAAAACAAGAGGAGCCAGCGTGTTCCAGCAGATTAATTAGCTGCCTCGAACACGTGCATCCACAGTTATAATTGGCACGAGCGTACCTCTATCTCCTGCACTTGCTCCTCATTGTTGATGTACATCTGCTGCAGGGAGTCCTCCAGCTCCTTGTTGCGTTCCAGCAGAGTCTTGCCGAGCTCGGCTGCCAGGTGCAGGTCTGACAGATTCAGAAAAAAAAACAACAACAACATTATTCATCTAGTCTGATGAAAAGAAGCTGAAATGGAGGAGGGGAGGAGGAGGGGAATCCTGCTCGCTGGGCATGCTATATGAGCCCATGATGAATCAGCACTGGAGGAGAGAGAACGAGGAGAAACAGAGAGCCAATGCAACCATTACTGGACATTAACACAGTGGAGTCTGAGTTCTCACAGTTTGGAGTGTGAGGAGTGACAGGAACATGCAGAAACACACACTAATGCCTCTTTGTAAAAAATAAGATGATGTGTTTAAACCGTTGAAACGTGAACAACTGCAGCTCGGGTTCTTCTTGTTTGATCAAATGTGGTAAACAAGGATCATAAGCTGCCTGCCTTGCAACATTTGCCTCTTATGCAGAGCTGCTAATGAGCTGAGTGAGAGCGAGCAGAGAGCACAGCGAGCCCTCAACCCCCCTCGAGCTCCAACTTAGTCACAGCTCTGTTTCTGCTCCCAAGAGCGGGCACGTGCCCAGTATTAGTTATGTAATTCCACAATTTTGTGCACAGATGAGAGGTTTTTTTTTTTTTTTGTTTTTTTTTAATTAAGGAAATACCAAACACTGGAAACCTAAGACAAAATAAAAACAAAGCTGAACAAAAACACGGATCATCGATCTGTGAAGACATATTAGCACACGTGAGCAACATTTCTGCGTCTGCTCGTGTGGTCTCGGACTCTGCACATGCGTCTCTGTGATGCTCTTTGATGTGTGAATCTCACGTGATGAGGCTGCAACATGACATCACAACAGCACGCCATCTGTCCACATCATACCGAAAAACGCTAGAGGCGAAGTGGAATATCGATACAGCAACATATCGTCCTGACTCTCGTGACAGAATTATTAAACCACTGGTGTAAAACAGTCTTTTTTTTTTTTTAAATATAGTGCTGAAAACAATTTCCCTGGCATTTTGACCCACAGCGTCACTACCTCATGACGCCTCAAGGTGGCGCTTACAAGACAGAGGGATAATGTCAACGGCACTAAATTGAAATTATAGGATGCAGCGATTCTCCCCTTCTCCTTACAGGTGCACCTTGTGTTCATCAGTCTGATATTGTGAAGGATCATCTTATTATTTACTTCAAATATAACAATTATCGCAGAATCTCCATATCGTGATCGGATTGTTATTTTTTGCCACCTTGAGTATTGTTTTGTATCGCTCGTATTTTATCGTATGGTATGGTGTTGGATTGTGAGTTACCCTGCTATTCCCACCCTTAGAAAACACAATAATAATAATAATAATAATAATAATAATAATAATAATAATTATTAAAAGGCACCTTTCAAAACTCTCAAGGTGACCTTACAGAGCAGAGATAAAAACAACAAAGTAAAAACACAAATGTACAGGATGTAAAGGAGTTATGAGAGCGGATGGAGAATGGTCAGACTGAATATGTCGGTTTAAAAAGAAAGTGTTTTGACATGAAGTTTGAAAATGGATCGATTTAAAAAAAAGTTCAGAGAAGGAAGGTTGTGGAGAAGTTGCATAACAGCATCATGCCTGGGCAGGAGGGGAGGAGAGGGGGGGGGGGGCAATTTGCCATGAGCAGGATGATATTAGTTTGGCAATTACGCCTCACATCTGGCCTCCAGCCTTGAACCATACTGATCCTAACTGCGGACGTCGAGTCTACGGGCTCCCTAATCAGATCATCCAGGGGCTTAATGGCTGAACAATGCTGGGATGAGATGCAGACAGAGTCCACCTGGCTCTCTGTGTCTTCTGCTCCGTGAATGCTGCGATGATGAGACACAAAGCTGCTTTAGTTCTTTGGGTCAGCAGGTAATCAGGAGATGTGTGTGTGGGGGGGGGGTGATGCTGAGGCCACGCGCTGCAGACGGACAAACACCTCTCTCCTCCGAGATGTCAGAGTGAATCCAGAGTGTTTGACACACTGTAAGAGACAAACTGTAGGAGGGGGGGGGGGGGGGGGGGATGCTGGGATATGAGAGGAAGGAGGTGAAACAGAGGCAACATCTACTCAGTCAGAGAGGAGGCTATTCTGGGACAAATCACTGACATTACAATCATTTGCAGGAGAGGGCAGGCAGATCCAGAGACACACACACACACACACACATGGCATTACAGCTTCCACTTGCACTTGTGCATGAAGTGCGATTTACAATGGATGCAACCTCCTCCTTCATTCCCATCCTCCACCTCCAAGAATTTATGGATCCAAGCCTGAATGGCACTGATTGTAGATGAGGCATTGTTACATCTTAAGATCCACCCATCCACACACACACACACACACACACACACACACACACACACACACACACACACACACACACACACACACACACACACATTAAAATACTGATGTGTCACCTTGCTCCAGGTCTCGCTGGTCGTACCAAGGCTCCTCTTCCTCCGTGACAAACTCCTCCATCCTGCCCGCTCGAAGCATCGATGCCGGCCAACTTCTTCTTCGTCGCCGGGCGGTGAGATCTGCTAATTCGCCGACGCCTCGCCCGGAAGTGACAACAAAACAAACCAAACAACGGCCACAAGCCTCCCACCCCCGAAAGAGTAGCCCCCCTTTTGGAGCAATTTCTTAAAGGCGACGTCCCCGGCGGTGCACCTGCTCCTTTAAGCCATCGTCGGGAATCTAACGAGTCCGCATCAGACCCGCAGACCTGCAGCCGTGAACTCAACACAGTGCAGCTGACAGGAAACGACACCACAGTGTCCTCTGTGTCGGTCTCATCAGCCTTTGATGTGCCGCAGGGACCTGCAGGTTGTGCCGCTCAGAGCCTGGACGCTGCTGCTGCTGCTGCTGCTGCTGCTGCGTTCAAGTGTTATCGGAATTCTGTCAGAACTGTAGGCACTTCATTTTTTTTTTTCTCCAATAGCACCAGCACTGCCTCTTGCGGTTTGTCTGTCATAAGATTAGAGCTGTGCAGTTTAAATTTAATACTGGTTGTCAACATCACGTCTGACTGTTAAAAGTCTTAAACTTTAAGTAGAAATCTCTAAAATTCTGAAAATTAGCTTTTTATCTGAAGGTTACAGTTTCCACGGTGTAACTAACCAAAAATAACTTTCACCGTATCCAATAAGTGTGTTATTATGACCTTGGGTGAAATGTGCAGATCCTGTTTTGACAACCTCAGAGCAGATTCAGCCTCGCGCTACAATGAAAGCCGTTATTTACAAGAAGCACCTGAAGGCGTCATCTCTGGAGGTGACGTCAGCGCTGGTTTGACATCGTCCCCGGCTCCGACATCTCTTCACTTCTCCTCCAAAAGCCCCCCACACACACACTAAGTTTAATATTTCCATATGAATGGATGGATTAGCACACAGAGACAGTGAGTCTGTTCAGAGACTTTATTGTAAAGTGTGCTGTTCACACCAGAGACTGAAAATACTGTTCACAGTCTCTGGTTCAGACACATCTCTGTATTCTGGTTTCATCCAGAGACAAAAAGCCTCTCACAGGCCCGACAGGCACTGATTTAACTGCTCTGTTTAAATCCATGTTCTTAAATAAAGCACCAGACACATACTACCCAACAAACAGACTTTAGTTCATTTTACAAAAAAAAAAAAAAAGGAAACACAAGAACCGATTTACAGAATCTTTCACTCATGTCTATTTTAGTAGCAGCAAATATCAAAATGAATCAGCAGTTAAACTTTAATCTGACACTTTCAGTTGTATGTCAGAACAACCTTTTCAAACATGTACCAGAGTTTTTTAATGTTTAAACTCTTTTTTTTTTTACAATGTTTTCAATGCAAATGCCAGCGATGTGTTGTCCATCCACATAATGTGTGTAACATAAAAGGCATTGGGACATCTCTTATGCTAAAACTCCAAGCTAAGATGGTACACATGGACAGTTAGAATGCTGACATTTTAAGTCATTCCAAGTGGCTTTTGATTTTCAACTATTTTTCAACCCAGGATCAAAACTAGCCCGCTCATGTTGTCTTTTAGGTTCAAGGGAAGATTGACATGAAGAATAGAAAAGTGCAGCTTTTCTTGAGCCCAGCCCCCAAACTATAGCGAAACAAACAAAGACAAACTGTAAGATCACATAAACAGTCATTAGTTTATGTGCTGAAAAATATAGCTTCTTTTTTTTAACAGTCCCAAGTGATAATGTTTAATAATTGACATAGAAAAAGCAGAACTCCAGCAGCTAATAAACTGTACACATGTGTAGTCTGAGTTGAAGCCTGAGATCACCGGGGGAAAAAGGGAAGCTCATAGGGCAAAGTCAAAGAGGAAGGGTTTTGACCTTTTTAAAAAAAAAAATGGCTTTATTTCCCTTCCCATCCTTCCTCGTTCTCTGGCGTCACAGCTGTGTGCTCATGTAAGGTGCTTCCAGTCGAGCTCGCTCTCGCAGCGCTTCACTCCGCTGAAGAACGTCTTGATGAGAGCTTTGGCTTCTGCTTCAACTGCGGACACAGAGAAAGAGAGAGACGTGTGTTAGAGAGAGAGGAGTCCACCGCACCACTTCAGTGTGTTGTGTTTTCATAAGTGCTCACCTTGGCTTTTACCCAGACTCCTCCCCTCTGTGAGAAGGTGAGACAAGTAGCGAGCAAAGGACTTAAACAGCTCCTACGACGACATAGAAACAAAAGCTAAAATAAAAACACAATTATGTCTTTCATGTTGCCGTGAATCGGGAGATGATCTGCTGCTCTTACCTTGGTTGCAAACTTGCCCTTGATGTAAGAGGGGTTCAGATATCTGACCACGATATCAGCTGCTTCCTTCAGCGTGACGGGCGGAGGGCACTTGCTCACCGGGTGCAGGTCCCTCTCCAGCACGTCGGGGTTGAACGTTACTCTTTTGCTACGGCCGTCTGCGGGGCGTCTGCGCTTCGCTGGAGGAGAGAGCTCGTTGTTTGCTTTTGCGTTGCCCGGCAACTGAACACAAAAACAAGACAGTACAGACATTGACTTAGCAGGAGACAAATGGTGGGATGAATAAAAAAAGAAGGGGTTTTCTTGAGGGACACTAATACTCTTTTGTAGTGGTGACAGAGAGGAGGACTCTGAACAAACTGTTATCCATTATGGATAATCCTGATCTCCCTCTGCTCACCCTACTGGACAAACAGCGGAGCAGCTTCTCCAACAGACTGATAGAACTCCACCGTCACAAGGACAGACACAAGAAATGTTTCTTACCGAAGGCCATAACTCTGTACAACAGCTCACCTCATGCGAGCAGAGAACTGTCATCATGATAATATCTGTCTCTCCTTTACTGTAATCTGTTCTGCACATGTTACATTTTATCCCTGCACTCATGTTCACTTCATTTGTCTGTCTACTCGCCCTTATATTGTTTAGTTTCTGCTTATAACATGTCTACACTCCTTCACTTTAACTTATGTCAATACTGTCCATTTACAACTCTGTTTTTGCACATTTACATTTGATCTTTCATATTTAATCTTTCCTATTTAAGAATAGTAATGCTTAGTGAAATCCTGGTTGTATATATTCACATTCTTAGTTTTGATATTTTTAGTGCTTATTTACTTTGTATTTAATATTATATTGTGTTTAGATTTGCGAATATTGTGTTTATTTTTTACTCATATTGTGTGTTTGGATAACCTGCTGCTGTAACGCCACAATTTCCCAGTTTGGGATCAATAAAGTAATTCTATTCTATTCTATTCTATTCTATTCTATACTCCGTTAAAGGAAAGAGATATTACCTCCGTTATCAGAGGTGATTTAGCAGCTTCTTCTGGTTTGTTTTGTCTGTGAAAGAGTGAATAATGTTAGAATAGGAGAAGAAGACTTTTCCATCAATTTCAAGCATTACATTGAGTTTGTCTCACCCTGCAGCAGACTCCTCAAATGTGTCCTGAACCTGCTCCAGATCCAGGTCCTGTTCTTGTTTCTGCTCCAGGTTCTGTTCCTGCTGTTGGATCTCAGTGTCCTCAGTTTCAACCTCATCATCATCCTTGATGACGATTATTTCTTCCTTTCTTTCCTCTTGTAACACCTCATAAACATCGGCTTCCTCAGGACTGATCTCGTCCTCCTGGTAAGTGCGTTCTTCAGCAACCACAGCTTCGGCATCAGCTGATGTAACGTCAAGTCCGTTGACAGGCTCCTCCTCCTCCTCCTCCTCCTCCTCCTCCTCCTGCCTGTCTTCTGTTGCCTCTTTCTTTGTGAAGTACTGGAAAATGTTGCGCGAACTCTTCGCTGCTTCTGCCAGTTTTTGCTGCTTCTTGCTCATGGCTCGTCCGCCTTTTGTCGGGCTGTTCAGAGAGGCGGCGGCGTTTGCTCGGGCTCTGATGGACGATGTCATAGCTAAAGACGCGTCCGTGTTTGTATCTCTTCCGCCGCCCTCCGTCCCCTTGTTGGACTCACTGTCCAGCATGGAGGAATTCAGCAGATCCTTGGCACATAGGTAGGGGTTGGACAAGCCTCTCTGACCTGCTCCAACTCTTTTACGCTTCATCTTGAGGAATAAATGAAGATCACATGTTTACAGGCAGCAGAATCTCCAATAATAAGTGCTTTTAAACTAGGAGAATAGTGTGTTTAATCTTACTGAGTAGATCTCTGATGCAGATGTGAACCCCTGCAGCTCCTCAGAGACGGAGGAAGAAGAGGGGCACATTTCAGTTTCTTTGTCAGATTCACTTGTAGTCCTCTCACCGTCTCCTCTCTCTCCTCCAGCTGAAGCAGGAGCTGTTTTCTTCATCTCGGAAACCTTTTCAAAAAGGGGACATAAGCTCATGGACAAATCCCCAAAGAACACTTCTGTATTACACACGTGGTGCTTGACTCATTTACCCTCTTTAGAACGGCGGCTTTGTACAAGTTGGACGATTTGTGGCTCTTGAAGATTTCATGTTCAATATCCACGGCCAGAGACTGAGTGTCACCGCTGAAGAGAGGTGGAGGAGAGAGATTAAAGACGATACATACACCACCTCTGCTGATGCTGAAAGTGAACTGATGTTTGAAACATGCATCTGCAGTATTACATGAAGGGGTCTTCTGCCCTCTGGTGGTCGTATAACGCCTCCTGCAGCAGGGACAGGCAGTGCTCCCTGGCCTGAAAAGAATAAATATATCATGAATTAATATTCTTAGACTTTGTTGTTGAGATATGCTACACACACACACACACACACACTAACAGAGAGATGTCAGAGTGAGGCGCTGCACAATGAGGGCCGTAGCTGCTGAGGGTTCGATGTCTTGCCTCTCTCTCTCTCTCTCTCTCTCTCTCTCTCTCTCTGATTTCTAAATAAAGACATAAAGCCTTAAAAAATAAACCTTTAAAAAAGCAGTAAAAAACAAAACTATTAAACGCCACTTACAACTTAAAGTTAAATAAGTAAAAAAGCATCACTTTGGGGTTATATTGTAGTTTTTTTTCTGCACGCATTAACAAAAACTGAACAAAACTTCATACTTTGCTCAGTAAAATAAATCCCTAAAAGTAGCTACTAAAGATTGAAAGCCTCAGGTTGCAAAAGGTTACACACACGAGCCTTAGAGGCACTTCTTTATTTCCATTTACTCCTCTCTCTCTCTCTCTCTTTTCTCTCCGGGTGTTGTATGTACAACTGTTATTTTCATCTACACAGTTACAGTCTCTACTCTCCTGAATTCCTGAAGACGTGTTAAATACTGTCTTGGGTTTGAGGAATGTGCTCACAGCTCCGTACCTTCACTGTGAGTCTGGGGATCCTCTGGCTGCAGGCCTCTCTGAGCGGACAGCCATTTTCTACACAGAGAGAGACACAAAGATGTAAGCAGACAGTACAGAGCACACTCATATCTGTTCATGATTTATCCGTCTTTCTGTGGATTTTACCTGGGGGAATAAAGCCTTCTCTCTGACTGTTTGATGCCTGGAGAAACACAGAAAAGGTCCAAAAGTTACACCAAATGTAACCCTCACTCAGCCAATTAGACGCGTCAGATATCTACAGCATCTTTATGTAACACTCATGTGGATTAGACGTTATGGTGCTGGGTATTTCCTGTCGTCTTTCAAATGGTGATATCAAATGAAGGCACTAAACGTCCTGATTAATGACAAAACAATCCCGTCTGCTCTGTTGTTGTTTGTTATTGTCACAAAACAATAATTATCCTTAAATAATTAACCTTGAGTTGATTTTGGAGATACTTGCAGATGCAGCATTTCAGTCGGTGTCAAAGGTTGATATCGGTATCGGTACTGGTATCAGTACAGATACTGGTGTGGGTTTTAAAACCACACAGAGTATGAAGCAGCATCACCCAAGCAAAGGACGCACGATATAGACTTCATCAGCATCATCCACTCCCTTGTTTTGAATTTTCCTGAATAATATCTGCTGCGTTTCAGCTCTCGTGTTTTTGATTGCCGTTTTTTTTTATTTTATTTTGTCTAACTTTTTGTTGTTTCTCTCTCTTTTAAGTCCGTACATCATCTTACATCTTTGGTCATCTTGGTCCCAACTCATGTTGTTGGGTTCTTGTGTTTCCTGGGTTCTAATGATGGTTTTATTGATTGTTTTATTGGTTCTAATGGCTGTTATGATGGATCTTATGATGGTTCCTTTAATGGTTCTTGTGATGGTTCTAAATGATTGTTCTTTGCTGGAGTCATTTCGATGTTGTTTATGTTCCTCTGTGTTTGGGTTCTTTTGCTTTTGCTGTTTGTCAGAGCACTTTGTCACACCATGTATTTTAAAGTGACATATAAATAATGTTATTATTATTATTAGTACTTTGATCAAAGAGACATGACTAAAGTCATCTAAAAACCTACAAGGGAATAAACATTTGGTGACCAAATTATGTTTTTTTAGATTAAGGATCACATTAAACTTTACAGATTAAACTGAAGTTCTGTATTCTGTTCAATCAGAACTCTGACTTTCTTATTTGTTGTTTGTGTCACTCAGTTTCTTCACTGTTTTATTATCACGGCTGTCCTGCTGTTTGTGATGCTGTAACCTTGACAAACACCACATGGACCTGCTGAGGAACAGCTTTTACTTAAGTCCATTAAACCCAACATGTGGGAGCAATCTACCACAACCCTTCCCTTCCCTTCAGGGGGGGGGGGGGGCCTCGGCCTTCCAGCTGCCAACAGCTGGCAAACACATGAACAAAGTTACAACACAAACGCAGCTCGGGTTGTTTTTCTCGTTGTAAAAAAAATAAAAAAGAAGTTTGTTGATGTTTATGATTCACCTTCCGCAGGTTCATCTGCTTCTTAAAGAGATTAGAAAACTCCTTTTTCCTCTGCGAGCCGTCATCCTCACCGCTGTCGCCGTCGGCTTCATCATACCTGCAAGGTGTGACGTCAGAGTCAGTCTACAGGCTACACTCCACTTCTATTCACAGAAGAAGAATCAGAAGCGGTCCCTGCCTTTCGAAGCCGTAGCCCTTCCTCCCTCCCTCGTACAGCCCCTTCTGGAACCCGAACGCTCCTCTGGGCTCTTGGCTCGCCGCTTCGGTCTTGGTGCTGAGTGTCGCCGCTCGCTCCAGCTGAGCTCGCACGAGTTTGGGGTTTCGACAGAAGTCGCAGGCGCCGGCACAGTTCGGCGTCTTGTCCCCGAAGAACTTGGAGATGGTGGCGTGGCGGCAACTGGTGGTCAAAGAAAAAAAAAAAAAAGAGAGAGACACAAAAAACTAAATCAGGTACCGATTTGTAACATAACATGAGCTTGATTTATTCATCAGTTGGGTTTCACACTAGCACGGTGACGTTTTTGGGCACATGGCGAACATCTCTCAGTCATACACGGGACATCCAGTGCATCATTGATCCATCAGCTGTTGTGTAACCGTCACACGCTGTGATCAATGTTTCTGTTATGAAATACGTCAGACAGTGCTGCCTTGTCTCCTGAAATAAAGCTGTAACAAAACCATCACAAAATCACAACTAAAAGACGCAGCATTGAAGCTGCCAACAGGGAATCCTTAAGAGCAAAAATCATCTTCATTCAGGGATACATGTGGCCCAAGTTTAATATAATTCCATTTATCTTGCATGCAATAATACTTTTTTTCCATGTCATATGTTAAAAAACAGCTTCAGGTGTTTTTCTGCATTTCTAAAAATGGCCTTAGTCACACTTTTGTGTCGGATCAGCAGCCGTCACTGTTCACACAAACACACTCACATTGAGCCTGTCTGGGGACCCCACCCACTAAATGTGCCACTTCAACAACAAACCAACTACGGCGCTGGAAATAAAAACTCTGAAAGAGAGAGGAGCAGTGTTTAGAGGAGGAGGAGGAGGAGGAGGAGGAGGAGGAGGAGGAGAGGAATCACTCCCACAGAGGAGTGTCAAAGAGAGAAAAAAAACTCAAGTAGAGCGCTCAGCAGAGAACTTCTCTGTGTGGCCAAATCAAGAGCAACAAACCAAAGGAGAAACAGACTTAAAGGGAGCAGGAAGGAGGACAGAAGAGCAGCCAATGGGATCTACTTTCTTCCTGTCATCTCAAGGAGTAACATCAGTACCTGAGGAGTTATCCCTCCTAATGCTAATCTGTCAGCCTGACTGCTAATCTCAGGAAGCATCTGTGGACTTGTCCTCTGGAGGGACACGCTGCACGTTCCAACAACTAACAAATACAAGCACTCAAGAGAAAAATTCCACATTTCTCCCCTGAAGGAGTTACCTGCCATCTCCTCCTCTTCCTCCTCCTTCTCCACATCACCAACAACAACCGGTTTGCTTACTCCTGTTTTGTAAGTTGTATCTGTCAGTCTGGGCTGGACTCAGCGTGTGGAAACAACTAAATCTCTCAGGTAGGTGCTTTAAACTGTGTGTGTGTGTGTGTGTGTTTGTAGAAGAATGTGAAGAACGTGTTCAGAAATAGACTTGTGAGGTGTCCCACACACTGGGACGTTAAATCCAGCAGCTTTTTAATAAGAAAAGAAAGTAGCTAACTCTTGTTATGATGTTAAACGACACAGAATAAAAGACTTCATACAGAAACATGGAAATTGTTCCAATTTTTTTTTTCCCCCTACATATTAAAATGTAGAGTTGTGATAACACAGAAGATAGAAACAGAGACAAAAAAAAAAAAGTTACCCGGTGTTGTGTCAAGATGTGCTACCTTGTCAAATAAAGCTAACTTGGCGTGAAACAATGAGTGATGATATCCATATCCCCTATGAAATAATGCTACCAGATCAAAATAACATTATGTTCATTTACATTTGTATTGTCTTGTCAGAGGCGCCGCCAGGGATTTTGGGTCCCATGAACAATTGAAAATAAATTAAAAAAATAAATAAATGAAAAAAAAAAAAAGAACTACTGTTCCAATATTTTTTTAGGGCCTCTATCGATCATGAGCCCTTAAATCGTCCTAACTCCCCCCCCCCCGTTTATTGTCAGAGTATGGGGAGCAAGTTCTGTTTCTCTACTATTTAAGATTTCAGGGGAAGCATATGCAGACAGACAATAATCTATGAAATGATGCTCCAGTCACTTTCAAACACCACTTGCTGCAGTTACACTTTACTGAAAGTGGAAGCATGTTCTGACGCTGTATAGTAAATCCTTTATTTAAGATTCTAGAGGAAGCTATTGGTCTACATCGATAGATGATCAAATAACGCTGCCCCGGAACAACAGGGTATCACACACATCACCTCACCCCACTTCAATCAGGACAGAGGTACAGAGCACTGAGGTGCAGGAAGGCTCGTCTTTGGAAAAAGCCAGATCCCCGCTGTCATGGGACCGTCCTGAACAAAAAGGCCTCGCTGAGCAGGCCGAGGTGGGGTGAAGAGCAATGGGAACACCGAATTTCCCCCTGGGATTAATAAAGTCTTTTTAATTCTGATTCTGGGAACTTTTGATTCCCGTTTGTTTTACACACTGTGTGTGTTCTGTTCTTGTGAAAAGGAAATTCCCCCACGGGGACAATAAAGTCGAAAGTCTGTACTGCACAGGGCCGCACATCTCCACGGCGAGCACAATCCGATAGAACACCGGCTCTGTCCAGCCCTTTTTATATATCTCTGTTGTTTGTTCCATACAAAAACACAAGTTTAAAGCGAAAGGCTCAGTTGCACAGTATGCAAAGCTTCTTTAATCATGTCATTATTGCATATATTGTAAAGTCTTGTTATGCTATTCATCCAACACAATGAACTTCAGCTTCCAAATCCAGCAGGCCGTCACACCCAGTGTCATATTTTACTGAAGAGCACAATAACACAGACAGCTGTTAATCATGCATCAACTTGACACTTGAACACCACCCATTAAAAGCCAATCACAGCCTCAACAGAATCAACACAAAGAAGCAGAGAGGCCTGTTTTCTTTTCCTGACACAGTCTGACACACTGTATCATCACGGCTGCACACAGACGCCACTGAAATGAAAACCCTCACATGCTTTCTGTCCTGTACTCTGTCAGTCTATTGTGTGTCACTGTCAACATCCTGCTGCTTTCTCTTTAAACCACCAGGTAGTCACACAGCCCTTTATCATGTCCACAGATTAACACGCTGAACGTTTAGTGCTTGTGTCAACACAGGAGCCGTGTCGCCTTACACACTCAGGCTGTCCACAGCAAATAACCGGAGCCACATCCTGATGATGACGCTGAAGTCAGACAATCAGCTTTCAAATCAGCTTTAATTAGAGCCCGACCGATTCATCGGTAAAGATCACAGAAATAAAGATTGATCAATTTTGTATAGTTGGATTATCAGGTGTCAGACAAATACAGTTAAAGCACACTGCAGAAAACATTTTTTTCACAGCTAAGATAAAATTGAGAAGAAAGGATGAGAGACAGAACAAGACACGAGGTGTAGCTTTGTCGCTAAATTTGACACAAACGGAAAGTTTCTCACTTTCTGAATTCTAAATCAATGCTTAAACCTGGAGATGCGCGCGACTAGCCGACTAAGAGGTTAAACGATGTCACCCTCGCTTTTTCAACACAAAAATTACTGACAAATTATTCATATTTGCAGATGTTGGCCCTCAATGCCGGGCAAATTCTACGCTCAAACTGTAACACAGCCCCCCCGCCACTAGTCCTGGCAGTAGCAGTAGACTTGCTTTAGCTCCGGTTATTGGACCTTCCTCCTCTGGCTCTACTGCCAGGATGTAAACAAACACAGTGAATGGAGTGTAGCAACCTGTAGGAGCTGCACTTCTGGCAGTATTTGTACTGCATGTATTGGTAAATAAAAGCCAGAAATGATCCAGTATTGAGCGCCTGGGAGTTATATTTTTGTTGCCGTGGTATTCAAACGGGTATCAATATTGTTTTAGTATCATATCCAAGTTTGAATTTCTGGCATCCCGACAAGTTCTTCTTCTAATCATTATTGACATCTCTCCACCTCCTCGCCGCCTGTTCAGGATGGATGCCAGAGAGGAGACGATGACCATCCTGAAACAGATCTGGTTCAAGCTAAACAGTCTGCCGAACGCCAACCCCATCGAGCTGGGAGCTTTCTTCATCCTCTTAACCTTTATCTGTGAGTCTCTTCCTTCTATAAGCACTTATTTCTGTACGAGTGTGTGAGAGAGAGAGAGAGCTGGTCATCAAGCTGTTTTTTTTGTTTTTTCATTATTTTGCAGTGGTTGTTCTGCTCATGGTGGTGCTGAGCTGCGTGACCTGCGGCTGCTGCTGCTGCTGCTGTCGGAAAACCAAGAAGAAAGGATCCAACATTTGAGCAGAGCTATTTTCCCTGCAGCTCTATCGGGCAATCCTGCACTCCTACTGAGAGTTATGGCTGATTAACTAGGATATGTCAGACATTTCAGTGAGCGATGCCAGGTCATTCAGGGAGTGTTCAGTGGCATCGGTGGGGCCAAGCCCTTCAACAACAAACAGAGGAAAGTTGTCCTGACTCGCTGCCAAAAATACAGAATAAATCAGTCAGGGTTTTCAGGAGGATCTACATTCCTCAAGGGAATCCTCTGCAGGTGATATACAGGGTGACAACAATGCCTTTGTTCTGAGAAATAAAGAGGGCCAACCCAAAGTATGACCTATAAACATGTGAAAAAAAAACTTACTAGTTGCACATTGAGTATAAAGAGGGAAAGCAAGTTGTTGTTTTGTTTTGTTTTTTTAAATGTACCATGTGTCTTTGAAATGCTCAGAAATTTGCACAAACTTGACATCAAGCCTTCAAGCGAGCTCAATGCCGCCCTCTGCTGTTAAAAACTAAAACTGCAGCATGACTTCCTTTTTTTTTTTAAAAACAAAGCATGCCTGAAACTGTTCGTTACATATGTGAAACGGGTGATGGCATTATGTAATCTGAAACTTTAACTTCCTCTTTTAGTTTTATATGAAATAATAATAAAAAAAAAACTTGTATGCATCTGTGCACAGACTGAGTGTTTTACTCACGCTTCCTGCATGCAGAACGACACCATGGCGTCAAAGTCTGTAATGGCTGTTTTGTCACTCTCCTTTTCCGCGCCCCGTTTCGCCTGTAGACAAGTTTGCAGAATGTTCACACACCTTGAAATGTCACGAGTTTATAATCATCACTAGGAGCTCCTCATGTTGCATTGTTTTCGAACCTGTTTGCGTCCGACTTCCTTGCGAATGAGAAAGTTGAGCTGCTCCTTATCTTTCGGTGAGTAGTAGGTGCGACAGGAGGAGGGCAGCCCGTCTCGTCCAGCTCGCCCGGACTCTTGGTAATAACTGGCCAGGGACTTTGCCAGGTTCCAATGAGCGACAAACCTGCAGAAGAACACAAACATTCACTCATGCAGACTGCAGAACTTGTTTTTTTTCTGTTAGCCAATGAAGCAGCAGCATGATAAACAGAAGCGTCCTTTCTGACCTGACATTGGCCTTGTCTACTCCCATACCAAAGCTGATGGTGGCTACAATAACCGGCACTTTCCCCTGCATCCACTCATTCTGAGCTTCTGTTCGATCTGCCGTCTTCAGACCTACAAAAAAAAAAAAACAATAACAAGCATCTGAGCAAAGATCTTGGTAGTTTTTTATATATATATATAATCAGGCAAAATGACATTGAAGAACTGTTCTGACATGAAGAACTGTTCTGACCTGCATGATAAGGCTTGGACAACACTCCGAGCTTGGTCAGCTGGTGCGCCACGGTTTCACAGCCGTCTCTGGTCCGACAGTACACAATCCCACAACCCTGTTCACACATATGACACACAGAAGGATGAAGACGTCGGGCTCTAAATGAGGATTACTGGCTCGGGAAAATATGGGTACGAACTTAAAACGATTTCATTGTTCCAGCAGCAGCAGTGGGTTCGTATCCGACCTCTGCCCTTCGCTGCTTGTCAACCACCCCCCCACCCACACACATTCTCTGCTCCCAACATTTCCTGTCTCTCATCAGCTCTCCTTTCCAGTAAAGGCAAAAGTGCCTTAAGATTACATCTTGAAATCGGGTTGCTCAAAAGAAAAAAGGCTCGAACTGTATCAGCATACAGGTTGGTTTAAAACACTTTGAAAGCTCTATGTCCTGAAAATTTGGTATCAACTGGGCTCAAATGAAAAAAACACCAAATGTTAGGTCTTTCATTTTATACATGGAAACTAGTTTGGCTCAGTCAGAGTAGCCTCCCCATGTACAGAGGCTACAGTCCTTGATGTATGAGCTGCAGGTTCAGGTGATGCTCGTCTACCCCTCTCTTTCATACACACATTTACTGTGTGTATGAAAGCTTTCCTACCAATAAAGGCAAAGGCCAGAAAATAGTCTTTGAACACACCATCCCAAAGACTCAGACTCCACCCACCTGTCCATTAGTGCTGTCATCCAGTGCCTTCGTAATAAAGGCGTGAAGGTGAGCGTAGGGGTTTGGCAGCATCTCCCTGAAGATCACATCATAGTTCAAGTTACTCCGGAAGACAGGTGTGACGAAAGACAGCGGTGATCGCAGCCTCAGGGATTTAATAATGTCCTCCAGTACATTCTTCGGCGCCGTGGCAGTCAGGGCCAAACAGGGAACCCCCGCCAAGCGGGCACGCAGCTCGCCCAGTTTGAGGTAGTCAGGCCTGAAATCGTGTCCCCACTGGGAGACACAGTGAGCCTCGTCCACGGCCAGGTAAGACAGGAGGCCACGGGAACACAGGTCTGTGAGACAGGGCTGGAAGGAGGGAGAGGCCACCATTTCTGGAGTGATGTAGAGCAGCTTCAGCTTGGGGCTGCTGCTCCCTAAATCAGCCAGGATGAGGCGTCGCTCGCCCACAGGAAGCTTGGAGTTGATGGAGCAGGCGGGGATGTTCAGACTCTTCAGGCGGTCTACTTGGTCCTGTGGAGAAACAAAGGTTGTCAAACTTTTTGATACATTGGAACAATCTCTGCCAAGTCAATTATCCACAGCATCGAAAAATGTCAGTAGTTTTTAAAAACAGATACGGATCTTTGTTCATTTTTTAATCCAAGGTCTGTTTAATTGGATTATGAGTAGATTTGAGTAGTAAAAACTTAAATTAAAAAATAAAGGAGTCAAAGGGACAGTGGATAGAGTTAGAAGTCAGGGAGAGAGAGAGTGAGGAATGACATACAGGAAACTCTCTTTACTGGCAGGTCTTCCTACATGCACTATCAAACCCCTGCAGATGATACAAAATGCAGCAGCACGACTGGTCTTCAACCTTCCTAAAAGAGCACATGTCACTCCGCTGTTCATCTCCTTACACTGGCTCCCAGTTTCTGCTCGCATCTAATTTAAAACTCTGCTGCTCGCTTACAAAACAGCAACAAAAACGTCTCCTCCTTACTTTAACTCTCTCATCCAGGTCTACACTCCCTCCCCCCACTACGCTCTGCCAATGAAAGGCGTCTGATCCAACCTTCACAACAGGGTCCTAAGACGCTGACTAGACTCTTCTCCTCTGTCGCCCCCCGGTGGTGGAATGAACTTCCAAACTCCATTGGATCTGCAGAGTCCCTCTGCACCTTTAAGAAAAAGCTAAAGACCCAGCTCTTTGATGAATACCTACTAACTTAATGATGATGGTCTCCACATCATTGATGATGATGATGATGATGGTTGTGACGATAGTTTTTGTTTGATAACGACGACTTATAAGATGGTTTCTATACTGGTTAGAGCTCTCAAGAACTGCCCTCAATGTTGTGCTTTGCCTCTGGTCACTTCCTGTCAGCACCTGTGTGTCCAATCAGACTCAAAGCTGATCGTTTGCTCTTACTGACATTGTTCCCTTTTTTTCTAGATCCTTGCTTGTGTTGTACTTACTCTCTGATGTACGTCACTTTGGATAAAAGAGTCTGCTGAGTGAATTGTAGAATTGTAGGAAAGGAGCCACAGGTTGGATTTGAACCTGGGCCGCCCTCTTGGAGGACTGTAGCCTCTATATTGGGGGGGGCGCACTAACCACTAGGACACTGGCACCCAATCATCCACTTTGTTTTTCTTTTTTTTAAGTTCATTAAACTGGGGCATAAAGGCATAAAGGTTAGTGTGACCTGTGGCTCCTTTCCCACATGTCATTACACTCAGGCCCTTTCTGAATAGTCACAGTTCAGTAGGCAGTACTTTTCAGTATGGAGTTTCAGTATACTGAACTCTCGTGGTCATTCAGTATGCATTTTTTGGGTCCACCTCAGTATACTGAACATTTCAGTATGGATATTAACTTCCAGGTTTCATGCAGTATGGATCGGATGCGTGCTTTCAGGAAATGAAATGTGTTTTACCCACAATGCTGTGAGAAATTAAACGTAAATCATCAGGTCCGCCTCCAAATCAAAACAAACGAGCGTGGATTAATTGAATCAATTTTTAATCTAGAGTTAAAGTCCCGACTGAAATCACTACTTTAAATTAACAACAGAAAATATAACAAATATCTGCATTATTATAAAACCTTTCCCCCTCTATTTAAATAATGATTTCACTATTTAAATGTCTTTATTGATTTATTCTATTTTATATTCTGTATATTACTGTCGTTCATTTGTACTTTTCTTTATGTATGCTACTGTATGTTATTTAGTTATTTAATCTGCCTTTTACTTGATTTTCATTGTGATATTGTTTTTTTTTTACCTGACCGTATATGTGCATTACTGTTCTTGAATAAAGCTAAACAAAAAAAACAAAAAAACAGGTGGATGCGGCCGGTTTGCGTAACATAAATGATGTCACTTCCATACTGAATGAATCAGAAGAAGTAGGAACAAATATCTGCCTACTGTGCGCGCCTCCTGAATAGTAGGTACTAAACAGTATACAGCACAGATAGTAGGTACTGGTACTGACAGACTGAGTAGGTACTATGTAATTCGGATACAGCCTCTGTGTCCCTGATTTCTGACTCTATCCACTGTTTGCTTTTTACTGCACATTGCACAAGTTTACTTTTTCTTTACATTTTATTTGATTTTATTTACCATTTTGCACAATTTAGAATTTATTACTGTAACTATTATTTATCACCTCATTTTATTTCATCTACTTTACCTTATTTTGGTTGTAATGCACCGCGGCACGGAGACAAGCGCAATTTCGATTCCACTGTGTGTCTGGCATATTTTTGAAACTGACAATAAAGTTGACTTTTTTTTTTTTTTTTTTTCACTCCTTTATTTCTGAATTCAACTTTTTACTCCTGGCATTAGGCCTCCAGTGTTTACCTTTATTCATCAGGAGGACCAGGACACTGAAGATCTGTAAAAGAAAGGTGTATACCTTTGCACAACCACACAGCTTTGTAACACACATCACTCACAAAAACTTTAAGTTTGAATGATTGAAGATAAATCAAGATTTAGTCCGAGTGAGAGATCCTAACTGTAGTCCTGACACCATTCATTCCATTTTCTTCCCAACTGTATTGTTTTTTGGGTTTGTTTTTGTTATATTCCCAGCCTTTATAACATTAGACTTCAGAAGTGTAACTGATGGTGTGTTTGGAGGGTTTTCAAAGAGAGACTGACCTGAATGAGAGCGATTAGAGGAGATATAACCAGAGTAATTCCTTCAGCCAGCACAGCAGGCAGCTGGTAGCAGATCGACTTTCCTGCTCCAGTCGGCATGCACACGAACACATCCTTGTCACCTGCAGGGGAAACAACACAGGTCACCATTAACAACATAATGTAGAGCATTCTTTACCTGGAGAAGTGAAACTAAACCTCATATTTACACGTCTGTTCCTCCACTTCACGTCTGCTAATTAGCATAGCTTTAAATAAGATACAACAGTAATGTAAAATAACGTGTTCGCTGTCTTACCTCTGATGACCGCATTGACGACATCTTCCTGTGTCTTCGAGCGAAATTTCTCAAACCCAAAGTGTCTTTTTAAAGCTTCTGTTAAACTTGTTGTCATCGTTCTTCGTCTCTTCGTGTAAAACCTCTCTCTGCGCTCTGGCGTCGCACGTCGATGTCGTCATGACGTTCGTGATCCCAAACTCAGAGACTGGAAATAATGGTTTCGTTTTCTGAGTCTCGAGAAAAGTATATTTAAAATCATATAAGTGTTACAACCCCGCTTTACTCCTCAACACTGACTGACTTTTAGAATTCTGATCTTAATCTCAGACAAATCTCTCGACAAAAAAGTCAACCATAATAAATCATTATAATGAGTCTTTTTTTATGATTTTGATGTCTTGTAAAAAACAATTCTTCCATAAGTAGACAATGATTCTGATATGGTTGTACTTAGTACCTCCTAGACTACATGCACAGGTACTATGAAGTACTTTTACTGTGTACTTTTTGAGAAATCCACTGTCAAAGTCCCTTATAAATCACTATAATGAGTCTTTTTTTATGATTTTGATGTCTTGTAAAAAACAATTCTTCCATAAGTACACAATGATTCTGATATGGTTGTACTTGGTACTTCCTAGACTACATGCACAGGTACTATGAAGTACTTTTACTGTGTACTTTTTGAGAAATCCATTGTCAAAGTCTATAATAAATCACTATAATGACTCCTTTTTAAGACTTTGATGTCTTGTAAAAAACAATTCTTCCATAAGTACACAATGATTCTGATATGGTTGGACTTAGTACTTCCTAGACTACATGCACAGGTACTATGAAGTACTTTTACTGTGTACCTTTTGAGAAATCCACTGTCAAAGTCCCTTATAAATCACTATAAGACTCATTAATCATACATTTAGGGGCGGCTCACTTCACCATGTAAAAGTGAGGAGCAGCGGGCTTGACCGCAGTAAAAAAAAGTCAGTGGCCCTAATCCTCTTTCATACATTTTGATCTAAAGGCTTGTGCTTAAAAGCTTGACATGTGTTTCTTAATAAATAGAAATAGTGAAGTTGATGCCTCCGTATGTATGCATTTCTTTTCTAAACAAAAATTAAATTAAATGTTTTTTTAGTTCTATTGTTTTTATTTATTGTTTCATAGTTTTTGTATTATTCTAAAATGTGGAAAATAGTTAGAATAAAGAAAACCCCTTCCATTAGTATGTGTTCCCTAGAGACAGCTTACAGTAGTTATATTATCATAATATACTGTTCTGTATTATTGATAATAATATATTACTATTATGGCCAAACTTTTGACTGGTAGTGTATATATATGAATAAAGGAAGAACAAAATGATGTGGAGTTCTCAGGGATTCTTTTTTTTATTCAAAAATTAGGTTTACAAAAACATGAAATGGTTATATGATCACAGGATATCAATTATGAGTATAACTTCACCTTTAATGAGCCCACACATTTAAGCAATAAGGGCCCATTTATTCAAGTTCCCTTCGGAAAGACAATTCAATTGTATTGATTTCTCCTCCAGATAATTGTTTCAAATTCAATTTGAAAATGAATCTGGCTCAGCGAAAGGTTAAAAAAAATCCAACATTCACGAGAAGAAAAGTGGCATGGAAGGTTGCTTAATGTCATAATAATTACATACATTTTTAATTTTAACAGTGTTTGATCCTGAACAGTAATCTTTAAGCAAAGTGCAATTATCATTTATTTGTTGGATCATACATTAAGCTGATATCAAATCTTATTGCTCAAGTTGCTAAAAAAAAGAAAACAGGCCAATCATACCTGAAGACTACTGTATTACAATTTTTTTCCTTCCTTTTCCATGTTTTCATTCTCTTCATCAGGGGGAATTTCCATTTCCGTTTGTTTTTGTTTCTTCGTCTCCATCTTCAGCTCACTCTCCAACTCTGGATGAAATGGCGTTTCCAGGATAGCTTTGTTTTTCTCTGATTTCTGCAGACCTTCTATCAGGGAGTCGTGGATTTTCTGCCAGGCGTCGATCTCTGAGCGCCACAGTGCCGCTCTGGCTCTGATGAACTGTGAGGCCTCAGTCTCGCTACCTTTGGACAGACTGATGCTGCCGAGAAAAAGAGCATTCAGCCCGATGAGACCGGCTCTGGCGGACTTGGTGAAGGCAAGAGGCTCTTTGATTGCTGCCTGTCCGATATCTGGGATGTCTGCGGCCACCTTTGGCACGTTCTGTAAAGCTTGACCAGCATCAACAAGTGCATCAACACCTCTTACAATGACACCACCTTTGACAAGCACCTTGCCCACTCCCAAGACTACATCTATCTGACTTGCTTCCATTCTGGCGACAGTTTGATCGCTGACTTTCTTCAGACAATCCTGGAGACTCTGGAAATCCTTCATGAACCCCTCGAAGACCTCAGCGGCTTTCTTTTGTTGTGTACTGTTTACTCCTAACTCTGTCGCCGTAGTGACAACGCCATTGACCCCGCTGGTGACACCAAGCCCTATCCCAGTCATGGTAAGACCCAGAGACAGTCCAGCTGTTACAGGAATCAATGCTAAACCAATGATGGAAAGCACGCCTCCAACCGCCCCCACTGAGCTGCCCACCACACTGGAGATCTTTGCCCCCTTATTCATGGAGTCGAGCTGAACAGCAATCTCCTCCAGTCCATCTAGAGACTGCAGCAGGCGAGGTTGACAATCTCTGAACTCGTCGAGGAAGCCAGAGCAGTCATGAAACAAGTACACCAAAGAGAAGTGCTGGTTCATTCTGATGAAGAGGAAAAAAAAGAAATGATTAAAAGGATATTTAACAAAATAATTCACAACTGTAACCGAGGTCCTAACTCCTTGAACTCTTTAAAGCTCCTGTGAAGAGTTTTTAGGGCGCGGTCACACTGGCATTCTGTACCGTGCCCAAGCACGCTTCATCTCTAAAGTCCAGTTTGTTTGACCAGTGTGACCGCTCCATGCCGTGCTCAAGCACGGTACACTTACTTGGCCATGGCACGCTTTGGAGAGGTGTGCTTCGACACGGTACAGTTCATGCACGATCATAAGCAACGTTAACAGCAAAATATCACAACGGCAAAAAACTGTCAAACTGAAGCGAGGGGTACAGTTATCTAACTGAAGGTGCACAATGTCGATATTAAAATGTTTTAATTAAGGAGCTTTAAATAAAGACGACTTCATTACTCATCATGGTGGTATTTAAGACATAAATAAGGGAAACATGAACAGTTTAGCTGACCAAAGAAGTTGACAGTGGGCTACAAGAGTGTTGAAAAGATGAAGCCTGATATGAGGCGAACGTAACACCAAATTGCAGTGAATAAATACATTAATCCTGCATTTTACCTTTGAAGGCTCATTTTGTCATCTCCAATTAGTTAGATATCATCATGGATAATTTTATGATTTTCTTACAATTTATCAATTATTGCAGAACCGCTGTGTCATGATATCAACGTTGTCTTGGGCCACCTATTGTGTATCCTGAGTATACCCTGACTGTATTACTTAAAATGACCAGAATGCATACATATGGAATGATGCTGCTAACCTGATGTCATCCAGCTGATTGATGTAATAGAGCATCCTCTCCATGTCGTCTTCTGATAAATCCAAATCCAGGTCTACTGCAGATTTCTTGATCATGTTCAGGTCGAAGTCACTGAAAGTGCTTTTAAAGACACAGTTATATTTACTCACTGAAACCGACTTCTATTTAGAAATAAGTTAAGATTTTCTTTTAAGGAATGACGGTTTACCTTTTCTCCAACAGTCCACAGATCCTCTGGGTGGTCTGGATGTATTTGTCCAGCTGATACGCCAGCACTTCCACATTCTGCAGTTTGGGCTGGAAGAAGACCATTTCATCTCTTTTAAACTCAATGAGCAGAGGGCAGACCAGCCGTGCAGCAGCGATCACAACCTGAACATGATCGAGGCCGACCCCCTCTGGCAGGTGTAACACCACCTGCCTCCCCTCCATGAACACATGAAGTGAGGTGACTGTCAGTTTCTCTACCGCATCCAGGAAACAGTGGAGCTTCTCCAGTTCCATTAGAGTGTCCTTCAGCACAGCAGCCAGCTCCTTCTCCAGCTCTTCCAACCTGCTCTTTGCGGTCACCTGTGTCACCTTGCTCTTCATGTACTCAAGAAAGGCTTTTCCTTTATTCTCTGACTGGCTAACATGTCTGACGTTTAGGTCGATGCGGTCAGCCCTGTCCTTGATGTCCATCATCACATTTAACTCTGACTCCCTCTTTAGCATCCATTCAGGGGCCCTCTCACAGAATCCTCTCACCGTGTGGATGTGGATGAGGGTGTCTGCAGTGTAGCGCAACAAGGCCTTCTGGAGCTCCTTTCTGTATGAAAATAAAGGGAAACCAATCAAGCCAGTGTAGTCTACTTTTTCTCCATGCATAACTTTTCTCAGGGCTTTTGTTTCGGTTTTAATTGAAGTTGCACAATATGTCCACCAGATGTCGCCAAAGCGCATAAAAAAGTCACAGTGACAAAACTGTTCTCGATGTTAAATGAGTTCAAAGTTTCAGAAGACATTATTCATGCTCTAATAAGGCAGCATTTGGGATATTGTGAAGCTATCAGTTGATTCAATTAAATCAGAAATAAACCCAAGTTTATTTACATTAAGTTATATAATTAAAAGCTGAAATTTAGGACACTGTTTGTCGTCCTGAATAGTAACCTACAACATAAATTAGGACCTTTAAGTCAGTGTGAAAAACAAACTCAAAAGGATCACGTACTGTAGGCTAGATGCATGTTGTGCACTGGGGGTTAAAAGAACAATAATATGTCGCATCATTCTTGTCTGAACAACTTCACAACATTTTAAAAACAAAATTGATTGCGTATTCAACATTTAAAGAAACACACAAAAATCAAACACTTGAAGGCAACTCGTTGTATCTCAACGTACAGTTTTCTTTTATTCTTGCGATGGCATGTATTTATAATTTCCTGTGCAACAGTAGTAACAGATGCAGGGTTCCTTACCTTGACGGGGACATCCTGTTGCCTCTCTTTATGCTGCTGTCTTCTGTAACTTTACTGGGCTCTCTTCATTTTATCTGCGTGGCTAAAATGAAAATAGAGACTAGAGATCACACTTTATATTGAAAAGCTCCGTAGAAAAAAACTTCACATGACGCCCCTGTGTTTGGTTTCGTTTTCATCTCGTCACACCCACGTAGGCCTACATTCATAAGTGTCTTTCTTTTGTTGTGTACTGGGATGATCGTAAGTGTACCTGGTACCGTAACAAGTCAGATTAAAGATCGATGATGGACTGTGTAGTTATATCTTCACATCTCGACACTCCAGTGAAGAGAGGAGCCAGAGCTGTCAGCAGCTGATTCCCACCTGGAGGCGAGATGGATCAGGTGGTGGGGCAGGCTGCCGGACAGACCTGGTAAACCTAAACGTGTCCTAAATCCACTTTGGTAATCCTTTAAAAGTCCCTTACTCTCTACATTAGATTTGAATCATTCATGTATCATTGTTTTCATAGTTCTTCCCTACACAAGATGTCAGTACAATTGGTTTATGACTTTCTGCTGAACTTGAATTGTTGCCTGGTTTGCATTTGGGGACAATTAATGACTCTTTCCAATGGGAGGGTAAACATCCCTCTTCCCATATCTTATTATTTTAAATAAATGTAAATATTTATTTGCCCTTATCACTTGATTTGATTAACAAACAGTCACTGACCTGATGTCTTCCATGGTGATGTTTTTCTATATTTATTCAAAGCTTGATACAGTTCTGTTAAATGAAGTCAACAACATATTGAATCATCATCCCTCTCATCCTGCAAAGCTTCTACATTTCTTTATATTGTTTTCCTCTCTTTCACTCCTTTCCTCATTACTCAAACTTTCGTGACTATGGAATTTAACAAATGTCCTTACCAATAATTCTGCCTTTTCCTAAATGTATAGGCTATAACTACACTGTAATTGATCTGGATCTTCTCCCATGTTAAGTCTTTCATATCTCCACATCCTCTTCCTCCGCAGTAACAACATTTAATAGTAGGTCGACTGTTAAAAAAAAAAGTCAGTGGTCCTAATCCTCTTTCATACATTTTGATCTAAAGGCTTGTGCTTAAAAGCTTGACATGTGTTTCTTAATAAATAGAAATAGTGAAGTTGATGCCTACGTATGTATGCATTTCTTTTCTAAACAAAAATTAAATTAAATGTTTTATTTATTGTTTTTATTTATTGTTTCATAGTTTTTGTATTATTCTAAAATGTGGAAAATAGTTAGAATAAAGAAAACCCCTTCCATTAGTATGTGTTCCCTAGAGACAGCTTACAGTAGTTATATTATCATAATATAGTGTTCTGTATTATTGATAATAATATATTACTATTATGGCCAAACTTTTGACTGGTAGTGTATATATATATGAATAAAGGAAGAACAAAATGATGTGGAGTTCTCAGGGATTCTTTTTTTATTCAATAATTAGGTTTAAAAAAACATGAAATGGTTATATGATCACAGGATATCAATTATGAGTATAACTTCACCTTTAATGAGCCCACACATTTAAGCGCTAAGGGTCCATTTATTCAAGTTCCCTTTGGAGAGACAATTCAACTGTATTGATTTCTCCTACAGACAACTGTCTAGTCTTCATAGAAAGATGGGCATCCTCAGCTGAGATCCATAGACTGCCCCAGGTCTTTCTCGGAGCTACACCAAAATGATCAAAATTAGTAAAAAAGTCTTTCTGTTGCATGTAGTGGTATTTATTTTTTTTCCATGCATAACTTTTCTCTGATATCACAGGAAACCTGGGCACGCGCTATTTCAGGGTCTTTGTTTCGGTTTTAATTGCAGTTGCACAATATGTCGACCAGATGTCTACACTCATGCACTTTAACTTGTGTCACTACTGTCCATTAACCACTCTGTTTCTGCACATTCAAATTTAATCTTTCATATTTAATCTTCATATTTAAGACTAGTAATGCTTAGTTAAATCTTGGTTGTTTTTATTCACATTCTTAGTTTGGATATTTTTAGAACTTATTTACTTTGTATTTAATATTATATTATGTTTAGATTTGCAAACATTTTTTACTCATATTGGCCCTCACTTATCAATCTGGTGTAGAAACCAGCGCAGATTTGGGTGTAGAAATCATCGTACGACAGGGTCCACGTGGGACGTATGCGTATCTGGCTGATCACCTGATGCCTAATATAAAATACATTTTAGATATCTTATCTAACAGTAAATCTGTGAACCTCTATCTATCCGTCTTAACAAGCTCTGTTATAGTACGATCTAATTATTCTCCGACACAGACAGTCCACACTGAGTTGAAAATGTGCGTACACAAACTGAGACCTGGTGTGCCGAACTTTGCGTGGAAATGACCGTGGAATACACCCATTTTTCTGCCGTATGTACGTTTGATAAGTGAGGGCCATTGTGTGTTGGATAACCTGCTGCTGTAGCACCACAATTTCCCAGTTTGGGATCAATAAAGTAATTCTATACTATTCTATTCTATTCAAAGCACATAAAAAAGTCACAGTGACAAAACTGTTCTCGCTGTTAAATGAGTTCAACGTTTCAGAAGACATTATTCATGCTCTAATAAGGCAGCATTTGGGATATTGTAAAGCTATCAGTTGATTAAATTAAATCAGAAATAAAACCAACATTATTTACATTAAAAGCTGAAATTTAGGACATGATCTCGCACTGTTTATCGTCCTGAATAATAATCATTATTTATTTTTGATCCCGCGAGGGGAAAGTCGTTTTTACACTCTGTCTAGTAAACATGCTACACAAACATAGGCCGAAATACACACACATGCACAAACAGTCTGACCTACAACATAAATTAGGACCTTTAAGTCAGTGTGAAAAACAAACTCAAAAGGATCACGTACTGTAGGCTAGATGCATGTTGTGCACTGGGGGTTAAAAGAACAATAAAATGTCGCATCATTCCCGTCTGAACAACTTCACAATATTTTTAAAACAAAATTGATTGCGTATTCAACATTTAAAGAAACACACAAAAATCAAACACTTGAAGGCAGCTCGTTGTATCTCAACGTACAGTTTTCTTTTATGCATGCGATGGCATGTATTAATAATTTCCTGTGCAACAGTAGTAACAGATGCAGGGTTCCTTACCTTGACGCGGACATCCTGTTGCCTCTCTTTATGCTGCTGTCTTCTGTAACTTTACTGGGCTCTCTTCACATTATCTGCTTGGCTAAAATGAAAATAGAGACTAGAGATCACACTTTTTATAGAAAAGCTCTGTAGAAAAAAACTTCACCTAACGCCCCTGTGTTTGGATTATTTTTCTCTTTCTCTTTTTCTCACGAGATGGAGTCGCACCCACGTAGGTCTACATACCTGAGTCTTTGTTCGTAGCTCGATGGTCCAGTAAGTTCAGTTTTAATCATTCATGTAGGACTATCACTGTTTCCATAGTTCTTCCCTACACAAGATGTCAATGCAATTGGTCTATGACTTTTGATCATCACACCGGCGTCTTTGTACATCAGTCAGAGGCTTAGACAGTGTTCGGTATTTTATCTTGTTTTTATCATGTTTTGATCATCAGCTTTTGATTATCGCACATGCGCCGGCGTTTTTGTACGTCAGTCAGAGGCTTAGACAGTGTTCGGTATTTTATCTTGTTTTTATCATGTTTCGATCATCAGCTTTTTACATTACACTTATTGTAATGTATCTATGAACCAACAGTCTAAGCCATCAGACTCTGGGATCATTTGTTTTTACCCCTCTGCTTCCGCGTTCCCACGCTTTCACTCAGCAGTGCAGCTTGCATTTCAGCCTCTGTCTAAATCATACAAGTATAACTATGCTTTGTAAAGACTGTGTACAACTGCAGAAAGCCAACCAAAATATAACTAACCTCAAAGAAGACATCCAACGAACTTTTCTGAAATCAGTAAACAAAATGTTTGACATCTCTGGACCTATTCCCACTTTTTGCCGTGGTATTGGACGTTTCAGCAGGCTGCTCAGTCTGAACCTAAAAAAAAAAAAAAAACCTAAACCAAAATCTCAACCCTGGCTCACTGACACAACTAGAGCTTTAAGGAGCGATTGCCATAAAGCAGAGAGGAAATAGAAGCATATATTTACTATGATATCTTAAAGGACCAGCTGTTAAAGTACCAGCAAGCAGTTAAGGCAGCAAGAGCAAAACATTTCTCTGACATTATTTCAAAGACCTACCATAACCCTAAGGTCCTCTTTAGTACCATAAACTCTCTCATCTGTCCGTCTACCAGAATCACCCAAGGTGTGCCGTGAAGTAAATGTGAGAACTTCTTGAAGTTCTTCACTGGTAAAGTTGAAAGCATTCGAAACAGCATTCAAGTACCAACGATGGATGTTTCTGTCTCTCTTATTCGCTCCGCCCAGTTGAACTGGTTTGAGCCCATCTCCCTAGCCTCACTTAAAGAAACTGTTTTTAACATGAAATCTACAACCTGCCCGCATGACATAGTTCCTACTCGTCTTGTTAAGGAGGCCTTTGACTCCATTGGGCCAAGTATCCTCTCAATTGTAAACAGCTCCTTGGCATTCGGCAAAGTCCCATCCTGTCTTAAACATGCTGTGGTGCAGCCTCTGTTAAAGAAACCAAACCTGGACCCCTTACTGCTTTGTAATTACCGACCCATCTCAAAACTACCTTTCCTCTCCAAAATACTAGAAAAGGTTGTTCTGCACAAACTTTTGCCCTACCTTCACCAAAATAATATACTTGATAAATTTCAGTCAGGTTTCAGGGTAGCTCACAGTACTGAGTCTGCCTTACTAAAAGTCCATAATGATCTCCTCCTCACAGTCGATTCAGGACACTGTCCTGGTTTTATTGGACTTGAGTGCCGCTTTTGATACCGTCGATCACGCCACTCTAATTGATCGCCTTCAGCATACGGTTGGTGTTGGAGGCTCCGCCCTGAATTGGTTCATCTCCTATTTAAAAAATAGAACGTTCTCAGTGAACATAGGCAATTCCTCTTCCTCTACAGCCAATCTGTCCTGCGGGGTCCCTCAAGGCTCCATTCTAGGCCCTATTCTTTTCTCCATTTACATGCTCCCGCTTGGAAAAATCATGGAAAAGCACAACATTTCTTATCACTGTTACGCAGATGATACCCAACTATACCTACCCATAAACCCAAAAAATCAATCAGACTTCAATTCTCTTACACAGTGCCTGGAAGACATCAAATGCTGGATGGCCCATAATCTCTAACAGCTGAATGAGAACAAAACTGAAGTGATTCTTTTTGGCCCCTCTGAAGCCATAAAACAGGTCCAAAGCAGCTTAGGTCATCTTTCCTCCCTCATCAAGCCACACGCTAAGAACCTTGGAGTAATATTTGATTCCGCCTTCACATTTGAATACCAGATCAAATCAGTAGTTAAAACCAGTTTCTTTCAGCTAAGAACCATCTCAAAACTTAAACCTATCCTCTCCTTTCATGATTTAGAAATAATAATCCACGCTTTCATCTCGTCCCGTCTCGATTACTGTAACTCCCTGTACTCGGGGATCAGCCAGTCATTCCTATCGAGACTGCAACTGGTTCAAAATGCTGCAGCCAGGCTACTTACTGGCTCACGTAAAAGGGAGCATATCAGCCCTGGATTGGCAGGAGACGGTTTAGGGTGGATGTGCTAAGTGAGGTGAAAAGAGCATTACAATAATCAATACGAGATGAGACAAAGGCGTACAAAATCATCTCAAGTTCTGTGAAAGACACTAATGTTCTCAGCTTCCTGATATTTCTTAAATGAAAAAAGCATGATTTGGTTAGCTGTTTAACATGGCTGTCTAATGATAAAGAAGAATTGATAATTACTCCCAGAATACGGAGGTTGGTGCAAACAGCAGAGGAGAGGGGCCCAATGTTTTGCATGATTGTTGAAACATACTTGTCTTGGGCAATAACTAGGACTCTGCATTTAGTTGTAGGAAATTATGAGTTGCCCAGTCGTTGATAGTATTTATACAGTCTTGGAGCCTGGACAACGTAGAGGCTTTGCTCGGTTTAAATGAAAATTGCAGTTGTATATCATCTGCATATAGATGATATGCAATATTAAAACTTTGTATAATCTTTCCTAGGGGAAGCAGATCGAGAAAGAACAACAGAGGTCCCAGGACTGAGCCTTGTGGGACTCCACACGATAAAGGAGAGGAGTCAGACATAAACTCCCCAACAGACAGTGAAGGTCCTTTCACTTAGATACGAAGAGAACCAGTCCAGAGCTGTACCTGATATTCCCACCCAGTCATGTAGTGTCTTTATGAGGTTAGGGTGGTCAACCGTATCAAAGGCGGAGCTGAGGTCAAGAAGAAACAACACTGAACAATCACCTCCATCAGCAGACATTAAAATATCATTGGAGACCCTTAATAAAGCGGTTTCAGTGGAATGCCCTTTCCGGAACCCTGACTGGAATCTGTCATAGATGTTATGTTCACCAACACAGCAGTGAGTTGATTGGCCACAACTTTTTCCAATATTTTGGACATAAATGGCAACTTTGAAATTTGCCTATAGTTCATAGGCAGTGCTGGGTCTAAATTTGGTTTCTTGAAGATGGGCTGAATCGTTGCATGTTTAAAATAAGTAGGGAAACATCCTGTAAGCAATGAGGAATTTACAATGGATAAAACAGCTGAACCAATAGTAGGTAAAAGTTTTAAAAACAGTGAAGGTGGTAAGACATCCAAGGAGCTATTAGTCAGCTTTGTTTTCATTGTCAAATCCATAAGATCCTCAAAGCTAACAAGGTGGAAGGAGTCCAAGACAGTAGGGGTAGCAGAGGAGCTATCTCTAGGTGGGTGAGCGTTCGCCTGCATATTGGACCTTATAGCCAATACCTTATCAACAAAGAAGGAGAGGAACTTATTGCAGTCATTAGTTGAACAGCATGGTAAGGTGGATGGAGATGGTGAGACAATATTGTTGATTGTGTCAGGGTGGAACAAGAGGATGGCCGCGGGCCAAGTACAGGGTCCCAAACAGCTGTGTCCTGGAGAGCAGTTGTTAAAGAAGCAATCCGTTTTGACTGCCCGGAGGCTACATCCATGAAACTGGACAGGAGGGAATTTTTGTTCTTCAATTCGTCGGATAGTCATCGGACATCTTCTCTCAGGTCAGCAATTTTTTTATTTGCCTTTTTCAGTAAAGAGCCCTCCTCATAGGTCTCGCTCGGCATTGTGGTGGTGATTATCCAAGCAACCGGGCTAAAGGTAGGCTACTGTGACTTTAGCTGAGTATGTTCTTTTTGTTTGAGGAACAGTGGTTTCAGGCTTTTGTAGTTGTGTAGGCTTGTGATGTGTGTTTCTGTCCGCAAAAGTCCATAAAAGCAGCACAACTTTACAGATCACAGTTAAAGGCATCCGGCTAGCCTAGCCTCCAGGCTAAAAACAATACAGCTACAGTCCGTAGTAGCTGATAGAACGAGTAACTTTGATCCCTTAGATAAAAGCAGCCAACTAAAAGTGAGTTTTAAAACAGGTTAAATTTTTCACAGCATTTCTCACCGAAAACTCAATCAGCCGGCGTGTGTGACTTCAGCAGGCATGAGTGACCTGCTTCCGGCATGTGATCATCCGACAAAGAGTTTGCCTTACTTTACATAGACCAAATCCAACACAAAGCCTAAACTCCTGTCAAAAGGTACTTGACTTGACATCAAGCCTTCAAGCGAGCTCAATGCTGCCCTCTGCTGTTAGAAACTAAAACTGCAGCATTGTTTTTGAAAACAAAGCATGCCTGAAACTGTTCGTTACATATGTGAAACGGGTGATGGCATTATGTAATAATCTGGAACTTTAACTTCCTCTTTTCGTATTATATGCAATAAAAAAAATGACTTGTATGCATCTGTGCACAGACTGAGTGTTTTACTCACGCTTCCTGCATGCAGAACGACACCATGGCCTCAAAGTCTGTAATGGCTGTTTTGTCACTCTCCTTTTCCGTGCCCCGTTTCGCCTGTTGACAAGTTTGCAGAATGTTCACACACCTTGAAATGTCACGAGTTTATAATCATCACTAGGAGCTCCTCATGTTGCATTGTTTTCGAACCTGTTTGCGTACGACTTCCTTGCGAATGAGAAAGTTGAGCTGCTCCTTATCTTTCGGTGAGTAGTAGGTGCGACAGGAGGAGGGCAGCCCGTCTCGTCCAGCTCGCCCGGACTCTTGGTAATAACTGGCCAGGGACTTTGCCAGGTTCCAATGAGCGACAAACCTGCAGAAGAACACAAACATTCACTCATGCAGACTGCAGAACTTGTTTTTTTTCTGTTAGCCAATGAAGCAGCAGCATGATAAACAGAAGCGTCCTTTCTGACCTGACATTGGCCTTGTCTACTCCCATACCAAAGCTGATGGTGGCTACAATAACCGGCACTTTCCCCTGCATCCACTCATTCTGAGCTTCTGTTCGATCTGCCGTCTTCAGACCTACAAAAAAAACAAAAAACAATAACAAGCATCTGAGCAAAGATCTTGGTAGTTTTTTATATATATATAATCAGGCAAAATGACATTGAAGAACTGTTCTGACATGAAGAACTGTTCTGACCTGCATGATAAGGCTTGGACAACACTCCGAGCTTGGTCAGCTGGTGCGCCACGGTTTCACAGCCGTCTCTGGTCCGACAGTACACAATCCCACAACCCTGTTCACACATATGACACACAGAAGGATGAAGACGTCGGGCTCTAAATGAGGATTACTGGCTCGGGAAAATATGGGTACGAACTTAAAACGATTTCATTGTTCCAGCAGCAGCAGTGGGTTCGTATCCGACCTCTGCCCTTCGCTGCTTGTCAACTACCCCCCCCACCCCAACACATTCTCTGCTCCCAACATTTCCTGTCTCTCATCAGCTCTCCTTTCCAGTAAAGGCAAAAGTGCCTTAAGATTACATCTTGAAATCGGGTTGCTCAAAAGAAAAAAGGCTCTAACTGTATCAGCATACAGGTTGGTTTAAAACACTTTGGAAGCTCTATGTCCTGAAAATTTGGTATCAACTGGGCTCAAATGAAAAAAAACACCAAATGTTAGGTCTTTCATTTTATACATGGAAACTAGTTTGGCTCAGTCAGAGTAGCCTCCCCATGTACAGAGGCTACAGTCCTTGATGTATGAGCTGCAGGTTCAGGTGATGCTCGTCTACCCCTCTCTTTCATACACACATTTACTGTGTGTATGAAAGCTTTCCTACCAATAAAGGCAAAGGCCAGAAAATAGTCTTTGAACACACCACCCCAAAGACTCAGACTCCACCCACCTGTCCATTAGTGCTGTCATCCAGTGCCTTCGTAATAAAGGCGTGAAGGTGAGCGTAGGGGTTTGGCAGCATCTCCCTGAAGATCACATCATAGTTCAAGTTACTCCGGAAGACAGGTGTGACGAAAGACAGCGGTGATCGCAGCCTCAGGGATTTAATAATGTCCTCCAGTACATTCTTCGGCGCCGTGGCAGTCAGGGCCAAACAGGGAACCCCCGCCAAGCGGGCACGCAGCTCGCCCAGTTTGAGGTAGTCAGGCCTGAAATCGTGTCCCCACTGGGAGACACAGTGAGCCTCGTCCACGGCCAGGTAAGACAGGAGGCCACGGGAACACAGGTCTGTGAGACAGGGCTGGAAGGAGGGAGAGGCCACCATTTCTGGAGTGATGTAGAGCAGCTTCAGCTTGGGGCTGCTGCTCCCTAAATCAGCCAGGATGAGGCGTCGCTCGCCCACAGGAAGCTTGGAGTTGATGGAGCAGGCGGGGATGTTCAGACTCTTCAGGCGGTCTACTTGGTCCTGTGGAGAAACAAAGGTTGTCAAACTTTTTGATACATTGGAACAATCTCTGCCAAGTCAATTATCCACAGCATCGAAACATGTCAGTAGTTTTTAAAAACAGATACGGATCTTTGTTCATTTTTTAATCCAAGGTCTGTTTAATTGGATTATGAGTAGATTTGAGTAGTAAAAACTTAAATTAAAAAATAAAGGAGTCAAAAGGACAGTGGATAGAGTTAGAAGTCAGGGAGAGAGAGAGTGAGGAATGACATACAGGAAACTCTCTTTACTGGCAGGTCTTCCTACATGCACTATCAAACCCCTGCAGATGATACAAAATGCAGCAGCACGACTGGTCTTCAACCTTCCTAAAAGAGCACATGTCACTCCGCTGTTCATCTCCTTACACTGGCTCCCAGTTTCTGCTCGCATCTAATTTAAAACTCTGCTGCTCGCTCACAAAACAGCGACAAAAACGTCTCCTCCTTACTTAAAACTCTCTCATCCAGGTCTACACTCCCTCCCCCCCACTACGCTCTGCCAATGAAAGGCGTCTGATCCAACCTTCACAACAGGGTCCTAAGACGCTGACTAGACTCTTCTCCTCTGTCGCCCCCCGGTGGTGGAATGAACTTCCAAACTCCATTGGATCTGCAGAGTCCCTCTGCACCTTTAAGAAAAAGCTAAAGACCCAGCTCTTTCATGAATACCTACTAACTTAATGATGATGGTCTCCATATTATTGATGATGATGATGGTTGTGACGATGGTTTTTGTTTGATAACAATGACTTATAAGATGGTTTCTATACTGATTAGAGCTCTCAAGAACTGCCCTCAATGTTGTGCTTTGCCTCTGGTCACTTCCTGTCAGCACCTGTGTGTCCAATCAGACTCAGAGCTGATCGTTTGCTCTTACTGACATTGTTCCCTTTTTTCTAGATGCTTGCTTGTGTTGTTCTTCCTCTCTGATGTACGTCACTTTGGATAAAAGCGTCTGCTAAGTGAATTGTAGAATTGTAGGAAAGGAGCCACAGGTTGGATTTGAACCTGGGCCGCCCTCTTGGAGGACTGTAGCCTCTATTTTTTGGGGGGGGCGCACTAACCACTCGGACACTGGCACCCAATCATCCACTTTGTTTTTCTTTTTTTTAAGTTCATTAAACTGGGGCATAAAGGTTAGTGTGACCTGTGGCTCCTTTCCCACATGTCATTACACTCAGGCCCTTTCTGAATAGTCACAGTTCAGTATGCAGTACTTTTCAGGATGGAGTTTCAGTCTACTGAACTTTCGTGGTCATTCAGTATGCATTTTTTGGGTCCACCTCAGTATACTGAACATTTCAGTATGGATATTAACTTCCAGGTTTCATGCAGTATGGATCGGATGTGTGCTTTCAGAAAAATGAATTGTGTTTTACCCACAATGCTGTGAGAAATTAAACGTAAATCGTCAGGTCCGCCTCCAAATCAAAACAAACGAGCGTGGATTAATTGAATCAATTTTTAATCTAGAGTTAAAGTCCCGACTGAAATCACTACTTTAAATTAACAACAGAAAATAAAACAAATATCTGCATTATTATAAAACCTTTCTCCCTCTATTAAATAATGATTTCACTATTTAAATGTGTCTTTACTGGTTTATTCTATTTTATATTCTGTATATTACTGTCTTTCATTTGTACTTTTCTTTATGTAGGCTACTGTATGTTATTTAGTTATTTAATCTGTCTTTTACTTGATTTTCATTGTGATATTGTTTTTTTTACCTGACTGTATATGAACATTACTCCTCTTGAATAAAGCTAAACAAAAAAAAATGGATGCGTCCGGTTTGGGGAACATAAATGACGTCACTTCCTTACTGAATGAATCAGAAGAAGTAGGAACAAATATCTGCCTACTGTGTGTGCATAGTGAATAGTAGGTACTAAACAGTATACAGCACAGACAGTAGGTACTGGTACTGACAGACTGAGTAGGTACTATGTAATTCGGATACAGCCTCTGTGTCCCTGATTTCTGACTCTATCCACTGTTTGCTTTTTACTGCACATTGCACAAGTTTACTTTTTCTTTACATTTTATTTGATTTTATTTACCATTTTGCACAATTTAGAATTTATTACTGTAACTATTATTTATCACCTCATTTTATTTCATCTACTTTACCTTATCTTGTTTTTACCTTATTTTGGTTGTATTGCACCGCGGCACGGAGACAAGCGCAATTTCGATTCCACTGTGTGTCTGGCATATTTTTGAAACTGACAATAAAGTTGACTTTTTCTTTTTTTTTTTTTCACTCCTTTATTTCTGAATTCAACTTTTTACTCCTGGCATTAGGCCTCCAGTGTTTACCTTTATTCATCAGGAGGACCAGGACACTGAAGATCTGTAAAAGAAAGGTGTATACCTTTGCACAACCACACAGCTTTGTAACACACATCACTCACAAAAACTTTAAGTTTGAATGACTGAAGATAAATCAAGATTTAGTCCGAGTGAGAGATCCTAACTGTAGTCCTGACACCATTCATTCCATTTTCTTCCCAACTGTATTGTTTTTTTTGTTTTTTTTTGTTATATTCCCAGCCTTTATAACATTAGACTTCAGAAGTGTAACTGATGGTGTGTTTGGAGGGTTTTCAAAGAGAGACTGACCTGAATGAGAGCGATTAGAGGAGATATAACCAGAGTAATTCCTTCAGCCAGCACAGCAGGCAGCTGGTAGCAGATCGACTTTCCTGCTCCAGTCGGCATGCACACGAACACATCCTTGTCACCTGCAGGGGAAACAACACAGGTCACCATTAACAACATAATGTAGAGCATTCTTTACCTGGAGAAGTGAAACTAAACCTCATATTTACACGTCTGTTCCTCCACTTCACGTCTGCTAATTAGCATAGCTTTAAATAAGATACAACAGTAATGTAAAATAACGTGTTCGCTGTCTTACCTCTGATGACCGCATTGACGACATCTTCCTGTGTCTTCGAGCGAAATTTCTCAAACCCAAAGTGTCTTTTTAAAGCTTCTGTTAAACTTGTTGTCATCGTTCTTCGTCTCTTCGTGTAAAACCTCTCTCTGCGCTCTGGCGTCGCACGTCGATGTCGTCATGACGTTCGTGATCCCAAACTCAGAGACTGGAAATAATGGTTTCGTTTTCTGAGTCTCGAGAAAAGGATATTTAAAATCATATAAGTGTTACAACCCCGCTTTACTCCTCAACACTGACTGACTTTTAGAATTCTGATCTTAATCTCAGACAAATCTCTCGACAAAAAAAGTCAACCATAATAAATCACTATAATGAGTCTTTTTTTATGATTTTAATGTCTTGTAAAAAACAATTCTTCCATAAGTAGACAATGATTCTGATATGGTTGGACTTAGTACTTCCTAGACTACATGCACAGGTACTATGAAGTACTTTTACTGTGTACTTTTTGAGAAATCCATTGTCAAAGTCTATAATAAATCACTATAATGACTCCTTTTTAAGACTTTGATGTCTTGTAAAAAACAATTCTTCCATAAGTAGACAATGATTCTGATATGGTTGGACTTAGTACTTCCTAGACTACATGCACAGGTACTATGAAGTACTTTTACTGTGTACTTTTTGAGAAATCCTCTGTCAAAGTCCCTTATAAATCACTATAATGAGTATTTTTTTATGATTTTGATGTCTTGTAAAAAACAATTCTTCCATAAGTACACAATGATTCTGATATGGTTGTACTTAGTACCTCCTAGACTACATGCACAGGTACTATGAAGTACTTTTACTGTGTACATTTTGAGAAATCCACTGTCGAAGTCCCTTATAAATCACTATAATGACTCCTTTTTAAGACTTTGATGTCTTGTAAAAAACAATTCTTCCATAAGTAGACAATGATTCTGATATGGTTGGACTTAGTACTTCCTAGACTACATGCACAGGTACTATGAAGTACTTTTACTGTGTACTTTTTGAGAAATCCTCTGTCAAAGTCCCTTATAAATCACTATAATGAGTATTTTTTTATGATTTTGATGTCTTGTAAAAAACAATTCTTCCATAAGTAGACAATGATTCTGATATGGTTGGACTTAGTACTTCCTAGACTACATGCACAGGTACTATGAAGTACTTTTACTGTGTACTTTTTGAGAAATCCTCTGTCAAAGTCCCTTATAAATCACTATAATGAGTATTTTTTTATGATTTTGATGTCTTGTAAAAAACAATTCTTCCATAAGTACACAATGATTCTGATATGGTTGTACTTAGTACCTCCTAGACTACATGCACAGGTACTATGAAGTACTTTTACTGTGTACATTTTGAGAAATCCACTGTCGAAGTCCCTTATAAATCACTATAAGACTCATTAATCATACATTTAGGGGCGGCTCACTTCACCATGTAAAAGTGAGGAGCAGCGGGCTTGACCGCAGTAAAAAAAAGTCAGTGGTCCTAATCCTCTTTCATACATTTTGATCTAAAGGCTTGTGCTTAAAAGCTTGACATGTGTTTCTTAATAAATAGAAATAGTGAAGTTGATGCCTACGTATGTATGCATTTCTTTTCTAAACAAAAATTAAATTAAATGTTTTTTAGTTCTATTGTTTTTTATTGTTTCATAGTTTTTATATTATTCTAAAATGTGGAAAATAGTTAGAATAAAGAAAACCCCTTCCATTAGTATGTGTTCCCTAGAGACAGCTTACAGTAGTTAAATTATCATAATATAGTGTTCTGTATTATTGATAATAATATATTACTATTATGGCCAAACTTTTGACTGGTAGTGTATATATATGAATAAAGGAAAAACAAAATGATGTGGAGTTCTCAGGAAATCCTCTTTTTATTCAAAAATTAGGTTTACAAAAACATGAAATGGTTATATGATCACAAGATATCAATTATGAGTATAACTTCACCTTTAATGAGCCCACACATTTAAGCGCTAAGGGCCCATTTATTCAAGTTCCCTTTGGAGAGACAATTCAACTGTATTGATTTCTCCTACAGACAACTGTTTCAAATTCAATTTGAAAATGAATCTGGCTCAGCGAAAGGTTAAAAAAAATCCAACATTCACGAGAAGAAAAGTGGCATGGAAAGTTGCTTAATGTCATAATAATTACATACATTTTTAATTTTAACAGTGTTTGATCCTGAACAGTAATCTTTAAGCAAAGTGCAATTATCATTTCTTTGTTGGATCATACATTAAGTTGATATCAAATCTTATTGCTCAAGTTGCTAAAAAAAAAAAAAAAGGCCAATCATCCCTGAAGACTACTGTATTACACAATTTTTCCTTCTTTTTCCATGTTTTCATTCTCTTCATCAGGGGGAATTTCCATTTTGGTTTGTTTTTGTTTCTTCGTCTCCATCTTCAGCTCCCTCTCCAACTCCGGATGAAATGGCGTTTCCAGGATAGCTTTGTTTTTCTCTGATTTCTGCAGACCTTCTGTCAGGGAGTTGTGGATTTTCTGCCAGGCGTCGATCTCTGAGCGCCACAGTGCCGCTCTGGCTCTGATGACCTGTGAGACCTTGGTCTCGCTACCTTTGGACAGACTGATGCTGTCTTTACAGATGAAGAAGACATCCATGCCGAGAAAAAGAGCATTCAGCCCGATGAGACCGGCTCTGGCGGACTTGGTGAGGGCCAGAGGCCCTTTGATTGCTGCCTGTCCGATATCTGGGATGTCTGCGGCCACCTTTGGCACGTTCCGAAAACCTTGACCAGCATCAACAAGTGCATCAACACCTCTTACAATGAAAACCACCTTTGATAAGCACCTTGCCCACTCCCAAGACTACATCTATCTGACTTGCTTCCATTCTGGCGACAGTTTGATCGCTGACTTTCTTCAGACAATCCTGGAGACTCTGCAAATCCTTCATGAACCCCTCGAAGACCTCAGTGGCTTTCTTTTGTTGTGTACTGTTTACTCCTAACTCTGTCACCGTAGTGACAACGCCATTGACCCCGCTGGTGAAACTAAGCCCTATCCCACTCATGGTAAGAGCCAGAGACACTCCAGCTGTTACAGGAGCCAATGCTAAACCAATGATGGAAAGCACGCCTCCAACCGCCCCCACTGAGCTGCCCACCACACTGGAGATCTTTGCCCCCTTATTCATGGAGTCGAGCTGAACAGCAATCTCCTCCAGTCCATTTAGAGACTGCAGCAGGCGAGGTAGACAATCTCTGAACTCGTCGAGGAAGCCAAAGCAGTCATGAAACAAGTACACCAAAGAGAAGTGCTGGTTCATTCTGATGAAGAGAGAAAACAGGAAATGAATAAAAGGATATTTAACAAAATAATTCACAACTGTAACTGAGGTCCTAACTCCTTGAACTCTTTAAAGCTCCTGTGAAGAGTTTTTAGGGCGCGGTCACACTGGCATTCTGTACCGTGCCCAAGCACGCTTCACCTCTAAAGTCCAGTTTGTTTGACCAGTGTGACCGCTCCATGCCGTGCTCAAGCACGGTACACTTACTTGGCCATGGCACGCTTCGGAGAGGTGTGCTTCGTCACGGTACAGTTCATGCACGATCATAAGCAACGGTAACAGCAAAATATCACAACGGCAATATACTGTCAAACTGAAGCGAGGGGTACAGTTATCTAACTGAAGGTGCACAGTGTCGATATTAAAATGTTTTAATTAAGGAGCTTTAAATAAAGACGACTTCATTACTCATCATGGTGGTATTTAAGACATAAATAAGGGAAACATGAACAGTTTAGCTGACCAAAGAAGTTGACAGTGGGCTACAAGAGTGTTGAAAAGATGAAGCCTGATATGAGGCGAACGTAACACCAAATGGCAGTGAATAAATACATTAATCCTGCATTTTACCTTTGAAGGCTCATTTTGTCATCTCCAATTAGTTAGATATCATCATGGATAATTTTATGATTTTCTTACAATTTATCAATTATTGCAGAATCGCTGTGTCATGATATCAACGTTGTCTTGGGCCACCTATTGTGTATCCTGAGTATACCCTGACTGTATTACTTAAATGACCAGAATGCATACATATGGAATGATGCTGCTAACCTGATGTCATCCAGTTGATTGATGTGATAGAGCATCCTCTCCATGTCGTCTTCTGATAAATCCAAATCCAGGTCTACTGCAGATTTCTTGATCATGTTCAGGTCGAAGTCACTGGAAGTGCTTTTAAAGACACAGTTATATTTACTCACTGAAACCGACTTCTATTTAGAAATAAGTTAAGATTTTCTTTCAAGGAATGACGGTTTACCTTTTCTCCAACAGTTCACAGATCCTCTGGGTGGTCTGGATGTATTTGTCCAGCTGATGCGCTAGCACTTCCACATTCTGCAGTTTGGGCTGGAAGAAGACCCTTGCATCTCTTTTAAACTCAACGAGCTGATGGCAGACCAGCCGTGCGGCAGCGATCACCACCTGAACATGATCGAGGCCGACCCCCTCTGGCAGGTGCAACACCACCTGCCTCCCCTCCATGAACACATGAAGTGAGGTGACTGCCAGCTTCTCTACCGCATCCAGGAAACAGTGGAGCTTCTCCAGTTCCATCAGAGTGTCCTTCAGCACAGCAGCCAGCTCCTTCTCCAGCTCTTCCTCCCTGCTCTTTGCGGTCACCTGTGTCACCTTGCTCTTCATGTACTCAAGAAAGGCTTTTCCTTTTTTCTCTGACTGGCTAACATGGCTGATGTTTAGGTCGATGCCGTCAGCCCTGTCCTTGATGTCCCTCATCATATTTAACTCTGACTCCCTCTCTTGCATCCATTCAGGGACCCTCTCACAGAATCCTCTCACCGTGTGGATGTGGATGAGGGTGTCTGCAGTGTAGCGCAACAAGGCCTTCTGGAGCTCCTTTCTGTATGAAAAGGGAAACCAATCAACCCAGTGTAGTCTAGTTTTTTTCCATGCATAACTTTTCTCAGGGCTTTTGTTTTTGTTTGTTTGAAGTTGCACAATATGTCCACCAGATGTCGCCAAAGCGCATAAAAAAATCACAGTGCTAAAACTGTTCTCGCTGTTAAATGAGTTCAACGTTTCAGAAGACATTATTCATGCTCTAATAAGGCAGCATTTGGGATATTGTAAAGCTATCAGTTGATTCAATTAAATCAGAAATAAACCCAAGTTTATTTACATTAAGTTACATAATTAAAAGCTGAAATTTAGGACATGGTCTCCCACTGTTTGTCGTCCTGAATAGTAAATATATATATATATATATAAATTAGGACCTTTAAGTCAGTGTGAAAAATAAACTCAAAAGGATCACGTACTGTAGGCTAGATGCATGTTGTGCACTGGGGGTTAAAAGAACAATAACATGTCGCATCATTCTTGTCTGAACAACTTCACAACATTTTAAAAACAAAATTGATTGCGTATTCAACATTTAAAGAAACACACAAAAATCAAACACTTGAAGGCAGCTCGTTGTATCTCAACGTACAGTTTTCTTTTATTCTTGCGATGGCATGTATTTATAATTTCCTATGCAACAGTAATAACAGATGCAGGGTTCCTTACCTTGACGCGGACATCCTGTTGCCTCTCTTTATGCTGCTGTCTTCTGTAACTTTACTGGGCTCTAAAATGAAAATAGAAACTATAGATCATACTTTTTATTGAAAACGCCCCTGTCGAAAAAAAGGCTTGCATCTATGAAGGTTGATATGTTGCAAAATAGGAGAGCTTGTAGAATGTGATGTGAGAACTTGAAGGAGAAAAAAGGTGAACTCGTATGTAAAAATGTTTACTTGTATAATAAATCCACTACTTTTGCTGCAGAAGAAACGATATAATTCGCAAGGGATTGTGGGATAGGTAGTCCCTTGACTCAGGACAAAAATGATGTACACAGTCTTGTATCTTTGCCTTTCTCTTCTTAAAAGTAACTTGAGTCGTTATAGTGTTTATACTGTTAATGCAAGTGTTGCACTGTCTTGCAGTTTGTGGTTGTGGTGAATACATAAAGTGCATCAACTGGAAATTAACTTCTCATTGGCCAATTCCCCCCACACGCAGACACAGCGAGGGGGAAGGGGGGGAGGGCATTTCTACAAGTACAAATTTATTTTGCTACAGACGTCTCACAAAATGTGTTGCAAAACTCAAGCAGCGCAGATTCGCGGATTTTTTTTATCCAAGTAAACATTTTTACATACAAAGTTCACTTTTTTTATCCTTCAAGTTCTCACATCACATTCTACAAGCTCTCCTATTTTGCAACATATCAACATTCATATGCAGCCGCCTGATTTACTGTCACTGGTCCTTCTCTCATAACTTTCTGCAGCTCTTGCACATTTTCACTGAGGGGAATGGTCTGTCCTAAATTCCCTAATCACACTCCTCTCACCAACAACCCCACTCCAATAATCTCCGTTTTTACCGATGGACCAAACTCAGTCTGGAAATAATGGTTTCGTTTTCTGAGTCTCGAGAAAAGTATAATTCAAATCATGTAAGTGTTAAACGGGCAAACGGAGAAGACTCCCCTCCCGGTCCGTTATCTCCTCACTCACTCTCCCATACGCAAAAAAACCTCTTTACTCCTCAACACCGACTGACTTTTAGAATTCTGATCTTAATCTCAAACTTCTTAAATTAAAGTCTGAATTCTGAGGAGAAAAAGTCCAAATAAACAAATAAAAATGACAAAAAAAGTCAACCACCCCACCCCCACCAAAAAAACAAAACAAAAGTCAGTGGCCCTAATCCTCTTTCGTTCGTTTTGATTTAAAGGCTTGTACTTAAATGCTTGACATGTGTTTCTTAAAAAAATAGAAGTTCATGCCTGTGTATGTATGCATTTCTTTTCTAAACAAAAATGAAATGAAATGTTTTTAATGCGTATTCAACATTTAAAGAAACACACAAAAATCAAACACTTGAAGGCAGCTCGTTGTATCTCAACGTACAGTTTTCTTTTATTCTTGCAGTGGCATGTATTTATAATTTCCTATGCAACAGTAGTAACAGATGCAGGGTTCCTTACCTTGACGGGGACATCCTGTTGCCTCTCTTTATGCTGCTGTCTTCTGTAACTTTACTGGGCTCTCTTCATTTTATCTGCGTGGCTAAAATGAAAATAGAGACTAGAGATCACACTTTATATTGAAAAGCTCCGTAGAAAAAAACTTCACATGACACCCCTGTGTTTGGTTTCGTTTTCATCTCGTCACACCCACGTAGGCCTACATTCATAAGTGTCTTTCTTTTGTTGTGTACTGGGATGATCGTAAGTGTACCTGGTACCGTAACAACTCAGATTGAAGATCGATGATGGACTGTGTAGTTATATCTTCACATCTCGACACTCCAGTGAAGAGAGGAGCCAGAGCTGTCAGCAGCTGATTCCCACCTGGAGGCGAGATGGATCAGGTGGTGGGGCAGGCTGCCGGACAGACCTGGTAAACCTAAACGTGTCCTAAATCCACTTTGGTAATCCTTTAAAAGTCCCTTACTCTCTACATTAGATTTGAATCATTCATGTATCATTGTTTTCATAGTTCTTCCCTACACAAGATGTCAATACAATTGGTTTATGACTTTCTGCTGAACTTGAATCATTGCCTGGTTTGCATTTGGGGACAATTCATGACTCTTTCCATATCTTATTATTTTTAAATAAATGTAAATATTTATTTGCCCTTATCACTTGATTTGATTAACAAACAGTCACTGACCTGATCTCTTCCATGGTGATGTTTTTCTATATTTATTCAAAGCTTGATACAGTTCTGTTAAATAAAGTCAACAACATATTGAATCATCATCCCTCTCATCCTGCAAAGCTTCTACATTTCTTTATATTGTTTTCCTCTCTTTCACTCCTTTCCTCATTACTCAAACTTTCGTGACTATGGAATTTAACAAATGTCCTTACCAATAATTCTGCCTTTTCCTAAATGTATAGGCTATAACTACACTGTAATTGATCTGGATCTTCTCCCATGTTAAGTCTTTCATATCTCCACATCCTCTTCCTCCGCAGTAACAACATTTAATAGTAGGCCGACTGTTAAAAAAAAAAGTCAGTGGTCCTAATCCTCTTTCATACATTTTGATCTAAAGGCTTGTGCTTAAAAGCTTGACATGTGTTTCTTAATAAATAGAAATAGTGAAGTTGATGCCTACGTATGTATGCATTTCTTTTCTAAACAAAAATTAAATTAAATGTTTTTTAGTTCTATTGTTTTTTATTGTTTCATAGTTTTTATATTATTCTAAAATGTGGAAAATAGTTAGAATAAAGAAAACCCCTTCTATTAGTATGTGTTCCCTAGAGACAGCTTACAGTAGTTATATTATCATAATATAGTGTTCTGTATTATTGATAATAATATATTACTATTATGGCCAAACTTTTGACTGGTAGTGTATATATATGAATAAAGGAAGAACAAAATGATGTGGAGTTCTCAGGGATTCTTTTTTTATTCAAAAATTAGGTTTACAAAAACATGAAATGGTTATATGATCACAGGATATCAATTATGAGTATAACTTCACCTTTAATGAGCCCACACATTTAAGCGCTAAGGGCTCATTTATTCAAGTTCCCTTTGGAGAGACAATTCAACTGTATTGATTTCTCCTACAGACAACTGTTTCAAATTCAATTTGAAAATGAGTCTGGCTCAGCGAAAGGTTAAAAAAAATACAACATTCACGAGAAGAAAAGTGGCATGGAAGGTTGCTTAATGTCATAATAATTACATACATTTTTAATTTTAACAGTGTTTGATCCTGAACAGTAATCTTTAAGCAAAGTGCAATTATCATTTCTTTGTTGGATCATACATTAAGTTGATATCAAATCTTATTGCTCAAGTTGCTAAAAAAAAAAAAAAAAGGCCAATCATCCCTGAAGACTACTGTATTACACATACAGTGGGGGGAATTTCCATTTCCGTTTGTTTTTGTTTCTTCATCTCCATCTCCATCTCCATCTTCAGCTCACTCTCCAACTCCGGATGAAATGGCGTTTCCAGGATAGCTTTGTTTTTCTCTGATTTCTGCAGACCTTCTATCAGGGAGTCGTGGATTTTCTGCCAGGCGTCGATCTCTGAGCGCCACAGTGCCGCTCTGGCTCTGATGACCTGTGAGGCCTCGGTCTCGCTGCCTTTGGACAGACTGATGCTGTCTTTACAGATGAAGAAGACATCCATGCCGAGAAAAAGAGCATTCAGCCCGATGAGACCGGCTCTGACGGACTGGGAGAAGGCAAGAGGCCCTTTGATTGCTGCCTGTCCGATATCTGGGATGTCTGCGGCCACCTTTGGCACGTTCCGAAAAGCTTGACCAGCATCAACAAGTGCATCAACACCTCTTACAATGACACCACCTTTGATAAGCACCTTGCCCACTCCCAAGACTACATCTATCTGACTTGCTTCCATTCTGGCGTTAGTTTGATCGCTGACTTTCTTCAGACAATCCTGGAGACTCTGCAAATCCTTCATGAACCCCTCGAAGACCTCAGTGGCTTTCTTTTGTTGTGTACTGTTTACTCCTAACTCTGTCGCCGTAGTGACAACGCCATTGACCCCGCTGGTGACACTAAGCCCTATCCCAGTCATGGTAAGAGCCAGAGACACTCCAGCTGTTACAGGAATCAATGCTAAACCAATGATGGAAAGCACGCCTCCAACCGCCCCCACTGAGCTGCCCACCACACTGGAGATCTTTGCCCCCTTATTCATGGAGTCGAGCTGAACAGCAATCTCCTCCAGTCCATCTAGAGACTGCAGCAGGCGAGGTAGACAATCTCTGAACTCGTCGAGGAAGCCAAAGCAGTCATGAAACAAGTACACCAAAGAGAAGTGCTGGTTCATTCTGATGAAGAGAGAAAACAGGAAATGAATAAAAGGATATTTAACAAAATAATTCACAACTGTAACTGAGGTCCTAACTCCTTGAACTCTTTAAAGCTCCTGTGAAGAGTTTTTAGGGCGCGGTCACACTGGCATTCTGTACCGTGCCCAAGCACGCTTCACCTCTAAAGTCCAGTTTGTTTGACCAGTGTGACCGCTCCATGCCGTGCTCAAGCACGGTACACTTACTTGGCCATGGCACGCTTCGGAGAGGTGTGCTTCGTCACGGTACAGTTCATGCACGATCATAAGCAACGTTAACAGCAAAATATCACAACGGCAATATACTGTCAAACTGAAGCGAGGGGTACAGTTATCTAACTGAAGGTGCACAGTGTTGATATTAAAATGTTTTAATTAAGTAGCTTTAAATAAAGACGACTTCATTACTCATCATGGTGGTATTTAAGACATAAATAAGGGAAACATGAACAGTTTAGCTGACCAAAGAAGTTGACAGTGGGCTACAAGAGTGTTGAAAAGATGAAGCCTGATATGAGGTTAACGTAACACCAAATGGCAGTGAATAAATACATTAATCCTGCATTTTACCTTTGAAGGCTCATTTTGTCATCTCCAATTAGTTAGATATCATCATGGATAATTTTATGATTTTCTTACAATTTATCAATTATTGCAGAATCGCTGTGTCATGATATCAACGTTATCTTGGGCCACCTATTGTGTATCCTGAGTATACCCTGACTGTATTACTTAAATGACCAGAATGCATACATATGGAATGATGCTGCTAACCTGATGTCATCCAGTTGATTGATGTGATAGAGCATCCTCTCCATGTCGTCTTCTGATAAATCCAAATCCAGGTCTACTGCAGATTTCTTGATCATGTTCAGGTCGAAGTCACTGAAGTGCTTTTAAAGACACAGTTATATTTACTCACTGAAACCGACTTCTATTTAGAAATAAATAAAGATTTTCTTTTAAGGAATGACGGTTTACCTTTTCTCCAACAGTCCACAGATCCTCTGGGTGGTCTGGATGTATTTGTCCAGCTGATACGCCAGCACTTCCACATTCTGCAGTTTGGGCTGGAAGAAGACCCTTGCATCTCTTTTAAACTCAACGAGCAGAGGGCAGACCAGCCGTGCAGCAGCGATCACATCCTGAACATGATCGAGGCCGACCCCCTCTGGCAGGTGCAACACCACCTGCCTCCCCTCCATGAACACATGAAGTGAGGTGACTGCCAGCTTCTCTACCGCATCCAGGAAACAGTGGAGCTTCTCCAGTTCCATCAGAGTGTCCTTCAGCACAGCAGCCAGCTCCTTCTCCAGCTCTTCCAACCTGCTCTTTGCGGTCACCTGTGTCACCTTGCTCTTCATGTACTCAAGAAAGGCTTTTCCTTTTTTCTCTGACTGGCTAACATGGCTGATGTTTAGGTCGATGCCGTCAGCCCTGTCCTTGATGTCCATCATCATATTTAACTCTGACTCCCTCTCTAGCATCCATTCAGGGGCCCTCTCACAGAATCCTCTCACCGTGTGGATGTGGATGAGGGTGTCTGCAGTGTAGCGCAACAAGGCCTTCTGGAGCTCCTTTCTGTATGAAAAGGGAAACCAATCAACCCAGTGTAGTCTAGTTTTTTTCCATGCATAACTTTTCTCAGGGCTTTTGTTTCGGTTTTAATTGAAGTTGCACAATATGTCCACCAGATGTCGCCAAAGCGCATAAAAAAATCACAGTGCTAAAACTGTTCTCGCTGTTAAATGAGTTCAACGTTTCAGAAGACATTATTCATGCTCTAATAAGGCAGCATTTGGGATATTGTAAAGCTATCAGTTGATTCAATTAAATCAGAAATAAACCCAAGTTTATTTACATTAAGTTACATAATTAAAAGCTGAAATTTAGGACATGGTCTCCCACTGTTTGTCGTCCTGAATAGTATATATATATATATATATATATATATATATAAATTAGGACCTTTAAGTCAGTGTGAAAAACAAACTCAAAAGGATCACGTACTGTAGGCTAGATGCATGTTGTGCACTGGGGGTTAAAAGAACAATAAAATGTCGCATCATTCTTGTCTGAACAACTTCACAACATTTTAAAAACAAAATTGATTGCGTATTCAACATTTAAAGAAACACACAAAAATCAAACACTTGAAGGCAGCTCGTTGTATCTCAACGTACAGTTTTCTTTTATTCTTGCGATGGCATGTATTTATAATTTCCTATGCAACAGTAGTAACAGCTGCAGGGTTCCTTACCTTGACGGGACATCCTGTTGCCTCTCTTTATGCTGCTGTCTTCTGTAACTTTACTGGGCTCTAAAATGAAAATAGAGACTATAGATCATACTTTTTATTAAAAACGCCCCTGTCGAAAAAAAGGCTTGCATCTATGAAGGTTGATATGTTGCAAAATAGGAGAGCTTGTAGAATGTGATGTGAGAACTTGAAGGAGAAAAAAGGTGAACTCGTATGTAAAAATGTTTACTTGTATAATAAATCCACTACTTTTGCTGCAGAAGAAACGATATAATTCGCAAGGGATTGTGGGATAGGTAGTCCCTTGACTCAGGACAAAAATGATGTACACAGTCTTGTATCTTTGCCTTTCTCTTCTTAAAAGTAACTTGAGTCGTTATAATGTTTATACTGTTAATGCAAGTGTTGCACTGTCTTGCAGTTTGTGGTTGTGGTGAATACATAAAGTGCATCAACTGGAAATTAACTTCTCATTGGCCAATTCCCCCCACACGCAGACACAGCGAGGGGGAAGGGGGGGAGGGCATTTCTACAAGTACAAATTTATTTTGCTACAGACGTCTCACAAAATGTGTTGCAAAACTCAAGCAGCGCAGATTCGCGGATTTTTTTTATCCAAGTAAACATTTTTACATACAAAGTTCACTTTTTTTATCCTTCAAGTTCTCACATCACATTCTACAAGCTCTCCTATTTTGCAACATGTCAACATTCATATGCAGCCGCCTGATTTACTGTCACTGATCCTTCTCTCAAAACTTTCTGCAGCTCTTTTCACTGAGGGGAATGGTCTGTCCTAAATTCCCTAATCACACTCCTCTCACCAACAACCCCACTCCAATAATCTCCGTTTTTACCGATGGACCAAACTCAGTCTGGAAATAATGGTTTCGTTTTCTGAGTCTCGAGAAAAGTATAATTCAAATCATGTAAGTGTTAAACGGGCAAACGGAGAAGACTCCCCTCCCGGTCCGTTATCTCCTCACTCACTCTCCCATACGCAAAAAAACCTCTTTACTCCTCAACACCGACTGACTTTTAGAATTCTGATCTTAATCTCAAACTTCTTAAATTAAAGTCTGAATTCTGAGGAGAAAAAGTCCAAATAAAAAATAAAAATGACAAAAAAGTCAACCCCCCCCAAAAAACAAAACAAAGTCAGTGGCCCTAATCCTCTTTCGTTCGTTTTGATTTAAAGGCTTGTACTTAAATGCTTGACATGTGTTTCTTAATAAATAGAAGTTCATGCCTGTGTATGTATGCATTTCTTTTCTAAACAAAAATGAAATGAAATGTTTTTAATGCGTATTCAACATTTAAAGAAACACACAAAAATCAAACACTTGAAGGCAGCTCGTTGTATCTCAACGTACAGTTTTCTTTTATTCTTGCGATGGCATGTATTTATAATTTCCTATGCAACAGTAGTAACAGCTGCAGGGTTCCTTACCTTGACGCGGAAGTCCTGTTGCCTCTCTTTATGCTGCTGTCTTCTGTAACTTTACTGGGCTCTAAAATGAAAATAGAGACTATAGATCATACTTTTTATTAAAAACGCCCCTGTCGAAAAAAAGGCTTGCATCTATGAAGGTTGATATTTGCAAAATAGGAGAGCTTGTAGAATGTGATGTGAGAACTTGAAGGAGAAAAAGGTGAACTCGTATGTAAAATTTTACTTGTATAAAAATCCACTACTTTTGCTGCAGAAGAAACGATATAATTCGCAAGGGATTGTGGGATAGGTAGTCCCTTGACTCAGGACAAAAATGATGTACACAGTCTTGTATCTTTGCCTTTCTCTTCTTAAAAGTAACTTGAGTCGTTATAGTGTTTATACTGTTAATGCAAGTGTTGCACTGTCTTGCAGTTTGTGGTTGTGGTGAATACATAAAGTGCATCAACTGGAAATTAACTTCTCATTGGCCAATTCCCCCACACGCAGACACAGCGAGGGGGAAGGGGGGAGGGCATTTCTACAAGTACAAATTTATTTTGCTACAGACGTCTCACAAAATGTGTTGCAAAACTCAAGCAGCGCAGATTCGCGGATTTTTTTTATCCAAGTAAACATTTTTACATACAAAGTTCACTTTTTTTATCCTTCAAGTTCTCACATCACATTCTACAAGATCTCCTATTTTGCAACATATCAACATTCATATGCAGCCGCCTGATTTACTGTCACTGGTCCTTCTCTCATAACTTTCTGCAGCTCTTGCAGATTTTCACTGAGGGGAATGGTCTGTCCTAAATTCACTAATCACACTCCTCTCACCAACAACCCCACTCCAATAATCTCCGTTTTTACCGATGGACCAAACTCAGTCTGGAAATAATGGTTTCGTTTTCTGAATCTCGAGAAAAGTATAATTCAAATCATGTAAGTGTTAAACGGGCAAACGGAGAAGACTCCCCTCCCGGTCCGTTATCTCCTCACTCACTCTCCCATACGCAAAAAACCTCTTTACTCCTCAACACCGACTGACTTTTAGAATTCTGATCTTAATCTCAAACTTCTTAAATTAAAGTCTGAATTCTGAGGAGAAAAAGTCCAAATAAAAAAATAAAAATGACAAAAAAAGTCAACCACCCCCCCACCAAAAAAACAAAACAAATGTCAGTGGCCCTAATCCTCTTTTGTTCGTTTTGATCTAAAGGCTTGTACTTAAATGCTTGACATGTGTTTCTTAATAAATAGAAGTTCATGCCTGTGTATGTATGCATTTTTTTTCTAAACAAAAATGAAATGAAATGTTTTTAATGCGTATTCAACATTTAAAGAAACACACAAAAATCAAACACTTGAAGGCAGCTCGTTGTATCTCAACGTACAGTTTTCTTTTATTCTTGCGATGGCATGTATTTATAATTTCCTATGCAACAGTAGTAACAGATGCAGGGTTCCTTACCTTGACGCGGACATCCTGTTGCCTCTATTTATGCTGCTGTCTTCTGTAACTTTACTGGGCTCTCTTCATTTTATCTGCGTGGCTAAAATGAAAATAGAGACTAGAGATCACACTTTATATTGAAAAGCCCCGTAGAAAAAAACTTCACATGACACCCCTGTGTTTGGTTTCGTTTTCATCTCGTCACACCCACGTAGGCCTACATTTATAAGTGTCTTTCTTTTGTTGTGTACTGGGATGATCGTAAGTGTACCTGGTACCGTAACAACTCAGATTAAAGATCGATGATGGACTGTGTAGTTATATCTTCACATCTCGACACTCCAGTGAAGAGAGGAGCCAGAGCTGTCAGCAGCTGATTCCCACCTGGAGGCGAGATGGATCAGGTGGTGGGGCAGGCTGCCGGACAGACCTGGTAAACCTAAACGTGTCCTAAATCCACTTTGGTAATCCTTTAAAAGTCCCTTACTCTCTACATTAGATTTGAATCATTCATGTATCATTGTTTTCATAGTTCTTCCCTACACAAGATGTCAGTACAATTGGTTTATGACTTTCTGCTGAACTTGAATCATTGCCTGGTTTGCATTTGGGGACAATTCATGACTCTTTCCAATGGGAGGGTAAACATCCCTCTTCCCATATCTTATTATTTTTAAATAAATGTAAATATTTATTTGCCCTTATCACTTGATTTGATTAACAAACAGTCACT